TTGCAGCGTATCTTTACGCATAACATGCGTAAATATAAGCATGTGACAGACCTGGGTAAGAGTGGACAGCCTACCTGTCCTGAGATGCAGTCACCAAGCAGCAGTATTGCGCTGCAGCACTCAGAAAGTCTGCTGATCTAACTGCATATTATTAAAGATCTTTTTTAGAGTAATTATTGTCTCTGATTAATGCATCTAATATTTAGCTGCGTGCAACTAAATAAAGTGAAACGCGTTTCCAGATATGAAACAAAGAGCCATTAGTCTCTGCAATCAGAAAATGCTTAACAATAAAATCAATATTCACTCAAAATGTATCCAAAGACTAATCAGTTATTCCTTACCGGCGTTTTTATCGCTCATGTTTGCGCGCTTTGCAAAACTTGAACACAGTAGGCTCTCTTTTTAGTTCTCCTCCGTTCAGCGCTGCAGAGGCAGGTCGGGTTGTTTCATGCGATGTTCGGTCCAATTGGACTCCACCAGAACTGGAGAGGCGCTTGATGCAGAGCAGCTCCGTTAGAACTCCTGCTTCATTCACTGCTGCTGTTTCTGAGAGTTTCTGAATGAAGAGGACTCAGGGTTTAGGTGAAGATGATGTGGAGAGGAGGGAGGGAGGGGGTGTGCGTGTTAGGGTGCGGGTTTGCAGCGGATGCAGCGTGTATATAGTTACAAAACGGAGACTATGCTTTAATGCTGGCTATTTGTTATGTTAAGTCTCTCATCTAACTTGTCTTGAAGTGTTCAATGGGTTTGACCGGGTGAGTATTCTAGGGATTTCAGGGACTGTGAATGTGATCTGTTAAGTTGACACAAATTAATGTAGGTGCTCCTATTGAAAGTTACAAAAACAAAAATGTAAAAGTTGTGATTTTTCACTTATATAATAATTACGGAAGAGGATTAGGGCCACTGAAAAAATAAAACGTGGCCTAATTCCGTCATTTTTCATATGAGATTAATTTTTCACCAATGTGTCACTGGCCCTCTCAAACATATCAGATCGTTGTCAGTGAAGCTGAGTGCCTCCCACGTCTCTTCCTTCATGGTGCCCATGAGATTAAAGTCAGAATTCTGAGAAAAAATTCAGAATTCTTAGACAAAAGTCAGAATTCTGAGAAAAAAGTCAAAATTCTGATATTAAAGTCAGAATTCTGAATTTACAGTCAGAATTCTGAGAAAAAAGTCACAATTCTGCGATTTATAGTCAGAATTCTGAGATTAAACTCAGAATTCTTAGAAAAAAACGTCTGAATTCTGAGAAAAAGTCAGAATTCTGCGATTACAGCCAAAGTTCTGAGAAAAAAGTCAGAATCCTGACATTAAAGTCAGAATAAAGTCAGAATTCTAAGATTAAATTCTCAGAAAAAAGGCAGAAATTATACTGAAAATTTTAAACTCATTTAACTTTTCTTTCAGTGGCACTAATCCTCTTCTGTATTTATCTCATATTAAACTGAAGTAATATTTCAAAATCAGTTAACTGTTTTTTTATTTTTTCATTGGCACTAATCCTCTTTTGTAAATAATGATATTATATCATACTTTAGATTCAGCTGACTCTCTGTTGAATTTAGATTTGAATTGTCTGTTGATCAGAATATGGTTTTCGGTTTGGAAACCATGAACTAAAAACCTCAGTAGGGGGATGGGTGGCAGTCATTTATTTTACACACCATGAGGTTTGTTTGTTCATTTGTAATATAATAATAATTGACCTTCATTCAGCTCTCATTGGAGAAATTTACCTCTGCATTTTGACCCATCCCCTTGGGGAGCGGTGGGCTGCCATTTCGCAGCACCCGTGGAGCAATTGGGAGTAAAGGGTCTTGCTCAGGAACCCAGAGAGGAGAAAGTGGGATTCGAACTGGGTACTTGCAACCTTTGCAGAGCACAAACACACTCCTCTAACCATGAGGCTAACACTCCCCCTTGCTAACTAGACAATTTCCAGACAGCCAAATTAGTCGTTTTAATGAGCAAGCCAGCTGACTGGCAGTGTGCAGCAATGGAATCGGGGTAGGTTTATGACCTTGCTTTGAGTACTTTTAACCATTGAGAATGCAATGATGTACCAGAAAACTCGTCACATTTGCTGACAGCAAAATCCGTTGAGCTTTTTTTTTCACTATATAAGTATAATATTTAGTGGAGGGACATAAATTTGATATGTGAATCAGATCAATTGTTTGTTCTGGACATTTGATGCTGTAATGTTAATATTATACTGTGATAGATACATATTATCTACACACACACTACACTTGGAATAAATTGAAAATAAGTGTTGTGTACTTATATATTTGGTTTGTTAGAAAAAATCTCTCTGGACCCAGCTTGAGTTGCATAATCAAATTGTGTCAGCACAGGGATACAGTATGCTTATAAAAGTGTGCTGTTTTCCCATATTATGCTTGCTCTTCTTGTTTTACAAGGTCTCTTTTGTTTTCATTTGTAATCATTCATACCTGCAAGGATGCAACTTTCGTAAAACTGCAAATCCCTTAGAAGTTTTTTCTCTTCTCTGTATTAATTAGAATTAAATCTCTCTGTGTCCTAAGAAAATCACAGTCATGCACCAATCCCCATGGTGTATACAGTGTAGCACACACAAAGCAAGCCTGGTATTATCTCACAGGCCCATTGATCAGTGCCTTAGAAACTGCTCTATCAGCATACTTATGGGACGCTATGACAACAGCTAGAGTTTCGTCTGATGGTATAAAAAGAGCATCCTGCTGGTATAAGATGTTTCCAGACTTTGTGCTGAAATAGAAGTCTCAAGGCCAAATGGTGTTCAGCTTCATGAGCCTGTGGATATATGGAAGAAGAAAGTGCCTTAGCTAGCTTATTCTATTTAATCCATGTGGATACATTTGCATTTTGGTAAACTGATGTCTAACATGTTCTGGTTACAGGCATTATACTTCCTGTCCAATGGGAAATGGTGTGCCTCCTTGTTTCTTTTACAGGCTGGCGTCGGTTCACAGTGAATCAATGACAGGACCTGAAAGAAGACACCTCTGTGGGGTAAAATGTGAACTGCATTGATCAGAGAGGAAAAAAAAGGGATGCATTAAGGTCCTACAGAATCAGACATTGTTTTATTTGTCTAAGCAGAAGCGGTATTATCTCTGATATTAGTCCAAACTACCCACATGTTCCCTCTGGCCTTACCTCCACCCGTCCTGGACTTACTACTAACTGCTCACCCCTCTCTGCTCTGCTCATCCATCCAGCCTCTCCTCACCCATATATCTGTGTCCTCCCCTTGCTCCAGACCTTCACCCACAGGATATCATCTGACTTCGCAGCATGTCCTTGATCTGTACAGTGGCAAAGGCATATTGCTCTCCTTTCTTTGTACTCTGGATCTTTGCCCTGAAACCTCCGCCCCTAAACCCCCCACCCACCCAACCACCACCCTCTCTTTTGTTTGACTGTATAATTTTCTGTTTAGCAATGAAAATTTGATTATATTAATTCTGTGAACAAGATGTTTTGTTAAAGTCAGACAAGATTAATTGCTCCTATACTCTTTTATTTTTCTCCACCTTTCCCATCGCAGGTCTGTAAACAATACTGTGTAGAGCTAAAGCAATACAGCTATGCAGAATTTGCATTGGAGGAGAGCCCTGCTCTGCAGACACTGCAGTGCAGCTTGCTCACTGCAAATTCTACCTTATTCTTACCTATTTCTGGAGTCAGTGGGCAAGTAAGCAAGAAGTTTGTGGAAGTTGTCCAAATGCCAACAGAAACACCTAGTGCTGTCTGTACTGTTCACCTATATGACTGCATCCTTTCTGAAACATATAAGGACATATCTGTATATGGATAAGACACTATTGCTGTATTTTTACTGTTATTGTGTGGGAGGTTATTGTTAAGTGTTCTTGCATTCATTATATTAAAGTTTGAATGTGGCCACTGTTTGTACTTGTATAAAGCAAAGAAATAGACACTAGGAATTGGATAGGCAATACTAAACAATACCAAAGAATAAAAGCAATATATTAATTAGTATATTATCTGATTAAATGTAATAACTGAAGGATATATCTTTTTATAGTTTAGTGATTTTATCGCATTTTCTAACAAATATAAATACCATTAACAAATAACATATATCATAATTATCCAAAGTGTAATAAACATTTCAGGTCTTGTGGTGTGTCATGCCATTGCTGATTTTTTTCTTATTCCTTAAATAGTTTTCATTCGGAAACATTATTAGAGCGGATACTATTTTTGCCTACAACTTTTTCCAACTTCCTGAGCTCACAGCGGACAACATAGCAATGCCGTGAAATTCAGGTAGTGGAAAGTAAAATATTAAAAAATTAACCATTATTAGAATTAAAGCCTGAAAAGAGTAATAAAAAGGGAGAGATGTCATTCGCAACCGTTTAAAGATTATGTTTAAAGTTTTGCTCTTTAAGGGAAAAAAACAACAAATTAAGAAAATTGTTGCATTTGACTATATTTCAAATAAATAAGCTAAAGTAAGGGGGGAAAAAAGTAAAAATTTTACTCTTTTTAGGTAGTTAAAGAAAATACATCATAGGCTTTCCTGGATAAAGAAACACAACTTGTCTATGAAAAAAATAAAGCAACCACTGCTAATGTATGTTGCGTTCATATTCCGATTTCACCGCTAGAGGGTAGTAATGTTGTCTCTGTAAAAGCAAAATCAGTTTAAAGCCAAATAAATTTTAATAACTTGCTTCAAGCAAATATATAATAATAAAATATATCTTAAGCTACGTTTTAGCCCTACAAACTCATGCTGAATATAGAAGAGCTATAATGACATACGTGTTGCTATACTGTCAAGATTGAGACACATCCAGTATTTAAATTGGTGCCACTAATTTTGAGATTGTTTAACCATAAAATTAAATACAGCTCTTTAAAATCCAAATTTATCTATCTCTATCTAAGGAGGTGTTTGCTTTTTTTTTTTTTTACGAGCGTCCGTGAACGCAGCATCAGCTTGAGTCTGACAGTGGGCGGGGCTTCAAGCAGGAGGTCACGACAGTCATGGCGTGCAGAGGGTTTATTATAAAATGGGGCAAAGCAAACCACTTTAGAATACCAAATACGATTTCCAGAAGCTCAAGGTGAGGGGTTAAAAACAGCGCTCAGTTTTCTGAAAAAGAATAACCCTGACAGGAGGCGCGTTTGAGGGTGTCTGGGTTTTCGTATCGTCTGGTAATGTGAAGTTACCTAACCGTTCTGTCTTTGCAAATGAAGCTAACGCTGTTTAGTGTAGGGAAAATAGTGCTGTCATTGTTATTCGTTTGCATTTCGTTACAAATTATGCTGCTAAATGAGCCGAAATACTCAAAAAATAAAGAATATGTGGCCTATACAAACTTGCTAAATTTATAACACGGTTATAACTAAAGGGTCTTCAAATATTTCACATGTAGTAGTTTTATTATTATTAATAATATTATTATTATTATGGCAAATACACAGGAAATATGAATTATTGTTGGAAAGAAAACTCGACGTAACAGCAGCTGCGTAACGAGTGTTTAGGGACTGTCAACAAATAGTCAAATTTAGCTAGAGTCTAAAAATTGCTTTCAAAAGGCTCTGACCTTGTTGCCAAAGTGTAAATATTTATTGCAACCAATATTCAATGTTTTTTTTTTTTTTTTTTTGGTCTGTTTGCTTTGAGGTTTAAGTTAGAAAAAAAGGGGAGGTGGGGGGTCTATTATTTTTGTACGTTTTCACACAATTTCTTCCAGTTGACTTGTTCCCATGAGGAAAGGTTCCCTGCTTGGGGGTTAGGTTCAGAATTATGGGGTGAATGAGTTTAAGAACATGATAAAGGTCTAAAACATTTAAACTATTTAAAAAAAAAAATGGTACCGGTCCATGTCTATCTGCATTAGAGAAATTTTCTCCCTTTTTTTTATTTTCTTGACAGACTCAATCCGTTCCATCAACAGAGATGTGGTTTCCGTTGTGAAGCCAAAAGAACAGAAACCAAAACCGGAAATGTCCCCCAGCAACAAACCAAAGCGCCACCCCCCGAGGCTGGCACGCCGGGACCCCCACCTCGTCCCAAAGTGCAACGGCCGACGCTCTTCAGACCATTGATGTTTACAGTAGGGGTATGCTGAATTTTTCATTAAAGCAAAGATCTCAATATATAGCATAATATGAAAAGAATTAATGTATTTGTTTTAGCTCTTGAAATCCAGCAGCTCTAAACTCTTTTAACACAGGGCACCTACAGAGTACCTATAGTCTTTCCCTAAAGTGGTCGGGGACAATCGGATTTATAATATCAAATTATTAGAATTTGACAGCTTTGCCTTTTTAGTCAGTTTGGTGTAAAATGCTGCTAAGATAATAGTTTGGACACAGGATTGTTGAATGACCTCTGTCTCCATGTCAGTTTGCAGGATGCTCATTTGGTGGAGCAGCCATTCTGCAGTATGAGTCCCTGAAAGCAAGAGTTCAAACTGCAAAAGATGGAGAGGAGCTAGAGAAACTTATGATGGTAAGGATTTATACAAAACTGTTGTAGTAGCTGTTACGTTAACAAATACCCTACAGTGAGTCTGTTTTCCATTACTGTGTTAATAAGGGTTCCCAGGACATGGCATACTGGCATGACTGGTGGAACCAACTGTCCAACTTCCAGCGACAGCTCCTCCTCCTCATGTCCATGGTAGATGACTTCTGGAGCAGCCTTACAGAGGGACAGAGGACTGCTACTGGTAGTTTTAAAAGCTGATCTAGTTTTTAGCATATGCATGTATGCAATTTTTCACGATTCTGTAATTTCTTCTGATTATCTTCTAGGCATTATAGCGATTAATGCTGTAGTTCTGTGTTGCTGGAGGATCCCTGCAATGCAAAGATCTATGATCAAGTACTTCACATCCAACCCAGCATCCAGTGAGTGCGCTTGTTTATGTGGGAAATTGCAAGACATAACGTGAAAACATCTGTTGGTGAAAGTTATTTCCAAGGAGGTTATGTTTTTAGTCGAGTTTGTTTGTGTGTTTGATTTTTTATTTGTCTGTGTACAGGACAGACTTTTAGCTAGCAATGCTTACTAAAAATATTAGAAATTATACACCCTGTTTTTGGGATGTATGACTTTGGTACGCCCTCATTTTCCCCCGGAAACTTCACTGTCCCTACGGTCAGCTTCATTCGCGGTAAAAAGCAAGCTGCATGATTTGGGAATACGGTACAAATTCAAAGTTAAATGTTTCATATTTTCATCATCGTCGTATGAAATTGTTTCCTACAGTTCAATTCATTACCGCATTACTATTCATCTGAAAACAGAAATGTAGTTTAATCAAACCGCAGGCGACCCGGAGATCAGGATTTTACCACTCTATGGTCTTTACTCTGCTGGGCCTCATGGAAGTGTTGTCGTTCAGGCAAAACAATAAAGCTTTTGTCCACTGGGTGGAGCCTAATTGACAAAAACTGAAAGTTTATTGATACTGGTTTAAATTTTGGTGATGATCCACATCATAATCCAGATGCAGGAATTTTTTAAAGGATTATTTAACATTATTTGCCCGAACAAGCAGTTACCCCCCTAAACCAGTGTGGCAGCAGTGACCATTAAAAGCTTCAGCATCAGACACAAAAAACTCTGGAAGTATTATACTAAAGTCAAAAAGACACAGGGAAGGTGAGCCATGGCTTGCTTAAAGTCTCGATCTGCTCAATCAAATAAGAAAGCAGAGTGAATGAATAAGGCGAGAGCAGAATACCAGAGGCTGCAGACACACGCCGTGTCTTATTTACAAAGAAGGTTAAGGAAATTGTTACCAAAGGTGCCCTTAATGACATGGAATAGTTGATTCAAATTTTGTAATGTTTAAGCTATAGGTATAAGTCACAGTATGGGGAAAACTGCATTCTTTGAGTGCTTTTCTAGTTTTTAATGTATCCCTTTTTTTATTTTTCTTCTCCTACCCAGAAACCCGGTGCCTTCCCATGGTTCTGTCTTCCTTCAGCCACTACTCCATTATCCACATGGTGGCCAACATGTACGTCCTGTGGACGTTTTCCTCTGGCATCGTCTCCCTCTTAGGCAAAGAGCAATTTCTTGCGGTCTACCTCTCTGCTGGTAAGTGGACCTAAGAAAATGGCAGCATTATTTCAACATTGTCCAACAATGATATAATTGAGAATATGCCAAGGTCATAAAAAGATAAGTATTCTTTGACAGATAGAGATCATTGGTTTCAGTTGTTTATGATGGAACTGAAGTCAGAGGTTTATGCTGTGTCTACAGTGGAATTATGGCCCTTTACCAGTAACGATTGCTGCTCCACATCATTTAGATTTGAACAGGTCGACTGAAAGCTGCAGCTGTGGCTCTAAGCCCACCTCCAGCTGTCAGTGTTATGGCTGTGGCACTATTTACATTAGTTTGTGACATTAACACATGAAATGAAAATGTGCAAAATTGTAAGATTTTTTTTAATTCAAAATAGAAATAAATGGGTAAAAAACACAAATGTTATTTTTTATTATGCAAGAATCTGTTTGATATTCACGCATTAGAAGAAGGGGGAAAAAATAATGAAATTTAAAAATAATGAAAAAAATAATCAAATTGTTTTTTGAAGTATTAATTATTATTTAATATATGTTTTTATTTTATGTCCATATGCTAAAGACATGTAGCCTGATAAACCAAATGTGAGATTAAATGTGTAATTTAGTCGGGCCCTGATGAATGAGACATCAAAAGATCGTTCATGAGAACAACCCGTTGTCTTTCAAACCATTGCCGTTTCTCAATATGTGTGCTTGTGCGTTCTCATGTGCTCGTGTGCTCGTGAAACGTCATTACCCTCAGCCCTAGTACTGTTCCAATCGCAAGAACAGCAGACCGAGAACAGACAAAGTCCCCAGATGTTGTTCTCGCCCCTCCCTATTTACCGAGTATGCATCAGAGCAGACTTGTCCGTTCTTAAGACTGACAGCTGTCCCAGCATGCACTGCGGCAGCAGCAGCTTTCAATGGAGCGCTCCATTGAAAGTTAAAATTTCTCTTTTCTGTTGCTGTTGTTGTTAAAGCATCACTATATGGTCCATTTACCGATTTAATGCATACCTAAAAAAACAGTTTCCGAAGTTTAGAGGACCTCTGTAACCAGCGGACGTCCGAGGCTAACAGCAGCCAGGGCTAACCGCAGCCCATCTGCAACGGCCCTTTTTCGACATAGCCATGTGTGAAGGGCCGCTGGCTCTGATGGTGATTGTTTTTTTTTGTTTTGTTTGTTTATTTGGCAAAATGTTCATTTGATTTGTGTTTATCTGACTTTGTTAATTATTATTCCCCCCGCTAAATGAAAAAAGTAATAATTTATTATAATCTAGAGACTAATAATAATTGGAGGTGAAGTGCAGCTCTAGAGGAGCCGGGCATGTGGTGACGTCCCGAGTACGCTTCTGTTCCAACTGACCCATATTTATGCTGCGTGCTCCCGTTCTCACCAAGTCCACGCCTTCCTGTGTTCTTCTCAAGAACATACTTGGCGAGGACACGAGTCCGTACTCGTGTTCTAGTGACTTGAGAAAAGGCTTGTGTCTGTGCCTATTGGCCAACGCTCTGACCAATGAGCGCAACTGACTGTGACATAGTAAGCGCAATAGAAAGCTGGTGGGGGAGTGTAAACAAACAGCCTGTCGGTAAAACGGCGGATACGTCCTTCTTAAAAATGAATGAGCGTAGATCCTCTTCCTGCTCACCTTTGAACGAAAACCCCAATTCTAACCCTTTCAAAACTGATTCCAAAGCGGAGTCAAAAATCGCCATCAGAGCCAGCGGTCCTTCAAACACGAATATGCCGAAAGAGGGCCGCTGAAGACAGACTGCCTTTTGCCCTGGCTGCCTTTAGCCTAGGAGGTCCGCTGGTACTTTTATTGAACAACAGCAACAGAAAAGAGAACTTTTAACTTTCAATGGAGCGCTCCATTGAAAGCAGCTGCTACTGCAGTGCATGCTACCGTTCAATAGTTGTTGCCATCTTCCTAGTTGTGCTCCTCCCCCCGCTTTGCATTCAAAACTTCGAAACACATCTCTGCGTTATGATTGGCCCCCCAGTTCTTGGGCCTGGGGCATTGATCGAGGCTAGACCACTCACAGGCAATACTGATTTTGGCCGCTGACGGGTGGGGCTAGTTTACGAGGCTAAAAGACATGAACTTATTTTATCTTTACCCCTTACAAATCAAAACCACACTTGATACTAGAAAATCAGTCCTAATAGTTTGGATGTGGAAGGGGATCTGCAACTGATTTTCATCGTGTTCATGTCCAGGTACCTTGTCCCAGGGCCAGCCACGGCTGCTGGCCCGATGAAAATGCCTGTAAAGCTGGCTGATTGGAGAGGGACAGGCCTTAGAAAAGCCTCTGGAAAAGGAAAAGGGTCATTAGATTTGGTCATGTAACTTCTTTTTTTTTTTTTGACAAACAAAGCAAACTTCTAGAGTTTGCCTTGCACACATTTTTTATATTTTTGTCATCTGTTTTAAGTTTTATTATTCTATCTAATGTGTTGTATTTTTAGACAGACAGTGCAATCTGAAGTCTGGCCACTAGGTGCCACAAAAGTGTAAATATTGCCTTGGAAAATCGAGAGTTTAAAGGAATAGTACACCCAAAACATGATTAGCCTTCATTTTCTACTCACCCCCATGCTGAACAACACTCTGGAGTACTTTTTTGATATCTCAAATGCATCTGGAGATCTGGGAGGTTTCTTGCTGTCTGCTGACATTCAAATAATGGAGGTCAATGGCGCCCGAGGCAGAAAGGTCCATAAAAGTCCACAAAAAACGTGTCAATATTCCTCCATACTGCTCGTCAAATGTATTCCAAGTGTCCTGAGTGGGTAGCATCCAGAATTTACTCGAAACGAAGTCATTTAGAATGTTTTTAGAGCATAAACAGTAGTGTATAGGATTTCCTGAAAGCGCGTTCACGGCGCTACGGAAACCGCGGCAGACCAACCCAGACGAAAGTGCGCATTCACCTCAGCAAAGAACTCATGCTCTTCCTCAACACTGAAGTCCTCAAACATTTTTCTTTCGTTGTTTCTTTCTTTGCACAGGTAAACAGCACATTTCTTCTTCTACGCTTGCATTATTGGCAGAGCAGACGCTGAATGCGCACTTTCATCTGGTTTGGTCTGCCGGCTTCCGTAGCGCCGTGAACGCGCATGCGCGCGCTTTTAGGAAATCCTATACACTACTGTTTATGCTCTAAAAACATTCTAAATGACTCCGTTTCGAGTAAATTCTGGATGCTACCCACTCAGGACACTTGGAATACATTGGACGAGCAGTATGGAGGAATATTGACACGTTTTTTTGTGGACTTTTATGGACCTTTCTGTCTCGGGCACCATAGACCTCCATTATTTGAATGTCAGCAGACAGCAAGAAGCCTCCCAGATGCATTTGAGATATCAAAAAAGTACTCCAGAGTGTTGTTCAGCATGGGGGTGAGTAGAAAATGAAGGCTAATCATGTTTTGGGTGTACTATTCCTTTAAAATGTGACAATGTCAAGGGAGAAAATAGTATACATCATGAATGGGATTACAATTTAGATTTTTTTTTTTTTTTTTTTTTTTACTTCAGATTTTAAGAGCCTTCAGTTCATCCATTTTCAACTTTTTTTTTCACCAGCATCATTAATTTGATTTAAAAAAAAAAAGTGTTTGTTTTCAGTTTGTTTTCATTTCCATTCAAGACAGGTGGGTTTCCTACAAAGTATTTAATAAAGATGAGTAGGGCTTCATATTTAAATTCTGTTGGTTTTTTGGGTTTTAGGTGTGATTTCCACTATGGTCAGTTATGTTTGTAAAACAGCCACTGGACGATTCTATCCATCGTTAGGGGCGGTAAGTTTTAATTATCAATATTTCATTGAATGATAAAAACATTGTAATCAGTGACTGTTTTCTTTACAGTCAGGTGCTGTCATGGCAGTACTTGCTGCAGTCTGTACAAAAGTACCAGAGGCCAAGCTAGGCATCATCTTCCTTCCTATGGTCACGTTCACGGCCGGACATGTACGTGTTTCACAGTTTTTATAGGCATCCAAGTCTCTGAATGTTTAGATCCTGTGGTTGTTTGCTTTTTCTTACATTAAATGTGTTCTCGTTCCTGTATTGTGTTTTTTGCTGCAGGCAAAAGATGTAAATCTGTGCATGAGCAAAGCAAACAAGTGTATGAATGTGTGAATGTGTAAGTATGCATGACTGAATGCACGGCAGAGAGATTGTTGTTTTGCTGCATTCAAGTACATCGGTTTTAATTAAAACCTCCTGTTTATTTGTCTTCAGGCTCTCAAAGCACTTGTTGCCATAGATACAGCAGGACTGATGTTGGGATGGCGGCTGTTTGATCACGCTGCTCACCTAGGTGGAGCTCTTTTTGGAGTGTAAGTCTCAGATTTTTTATTTTATAACTTGGATATATGCCCAGATTAAATGACTAAAACCCAACTTCTATTGCTGTGAGCATTTAAAAAAGCTTATTCAATAGTTTTAATCTGGCGATTTTTATAAAAAAATTTTTTTTGAGGTTTGCAAATGTCATTTAAAATGAGTAGTCTCCTGCAATCTCAGGCTAACTGTTTTGTCTTACAGCTGGTATGTGGCATACGGTCACAAATTAATCTGGAGGAGGAGGGAGCCTCTCGTGAAGCTGTGGCATAATCTCCGCTCTCCAGGTGGGAGGGGATCAACGCCTGGTGGTAGTTCAGGGGTCCGAGGTGGTGGAGGCCCTGGAGGACCAGGACACTAGTAATACTACCTGAAGATGCCTAAAGTCCTTTAGAGACAGAATTTCTCCTAACTCGGAAAAGACTTGGATGTTTTTAATCTGTTGGGAGTGGGCTGTTATTTTTAATGAATAAATACATGAACATTTATGAGACCACGTTGTCATTTTGGATTCTTCCCTCCCATTCTGTGGTGTTTTATTTTCACTTTTTGACTCCATCACAACATACAAATAGTAACCTAGTTCTTTTTATAATTTTGTTGTCCGTCCAAGGAAACTGACATTAAAGCTGTACATTGTTGAGTTTTTAAAGTTAGATAAATCATACTTAGGACAGAAAATGTATCATTAAACATTGCTCTGTTGAGCTGTGATGCCAGCAGAAACTCTTGAGGAAGCTAAAGATTTCAGTATAACAAGATAATTTGTTATACTAAAGTGGAAACCTAAAAGTTACTCAGCAATCAAATATGGCTTTGGGGGAGGGGGTCTGGCTTACTCAACATAGCAGGGTTCAAGTCTCAGTTTGTTAACCATTGCTGGAGGTCATAGCTCTCCTTACACCACTTCCTGTCAGCATACTGTCAAATCAAAGCTGTTGCCAAATAAGGGCTTGATTGTTGTAATGCCAGAGATTTTATCATTGACAGGTTCATTTCAACATGCCATTCTTTATTTTAATGTTAAGTTTATTTTCCATTCTGACATTACTTTAATTTTGAAAAGACACTCCTGTTGTTCTGTATCAGAAAAAAACAGAATGGATGGAATTTTTTATCTTAATCTACCATGGCTAGGGGCTTAACTTTCTTTGTTTAAAAGATATTATGCATCACTTTTGACCAAAGCATTTGTGATACCAATTAAACAAGTGATTCCTTTATTTATTACCATTTAAATTGTTTTACAAACCATCCTTGAGGACCAAATCCTTAAATTGGAACATTTAGGTGTTAAAAGAAAGCTCTGCATTTACACATGAAGCTTTCTTTTCTCCGGTTTTTTCCTAAAAAGGATCACATCATTACATCATACACGTTTGCAGATGAGGAGGCATCCATGGTTCCAGCCTTATCAAAAAATTACATTTTGTTCTTACCTGAAGGACACCGCTCTCATTCCATTTGCAATCTTTGCCATTTACAGAATGAAGAATGTAACTGTATATCAGGACAGAGGAACTGTCCTGATTAGATAAACTATTTGGGAAAAAACTAGTTCCGACACACAATAGGCAGGTAATACCAGGGTGTAATAAACTCACACATTAATTATAATTATCCTAACAGGTAACTTCAGATTAAATCCCAGCAATTTGAATTGCATTATTTGAACCCAGAATGTTTCTTCCGATCTTGACCCCAACTCATGTTTTCAAACTGCATTTCTATATGTATATTTAAAAATCAGTCATTACTCATGTTTAAGGAAAAAAACATCTTTTATTTCATTCACATTCTACAATAATAAATGGTAATACAAATGATTGTCATAGCATGCATGGATTTTTTCCAATATTGTGACGCTATCAATAATTCAGTCAGATTTCTAAACCTACTGTGACTGCTATTTTCGATTTATTGCAATCCACCAAGTTACTTTATCAAAGATGGATTTTTTTTCATCAGTGTCCTGCTATGAGAGCTACCTTCAGGTCACATAGCCCTCGAGGCATCAGCTGATTGGCATGTGAAGTAGTACCAACTAAACAAGCCCACCAACCTAATGAGTGTCATCTCTTATCTTAACCCTTAAACACAGATATTAACTTCTCATCCTTTGCTCTTGTGATTGGCGTAGCTTGGGAAACCTAACTGGGAGACCATGAGATTGGAGTAACAGAGCGGCATGAAGCCATAAATCTTTGTCAACCGGTTGAGACAGTAGGACCTCTGGAGAAAATGCTCAGGACGATGCCACAGTCCCTGGAATCCACTGCTGGCATCTTTTTCAAGGTTGCGAAGGTCAACAGGCTTGACAAAGATCCCAGAAGGTCTTTGGATTGCACCTGACTTGGAGTGTTTTCGTAAATCTAGAGCGACAGCAAAATTCACAGCGATATCATCACAGTTTTGGGTTTCATCAACTAAGGAGTGGACTTCTTTAGGCTGATCCTGAAACAGTTGTAGGTAGCGCCGATGAAAGAAGGCTGCACTGATTAAAACCATGGAGTACCTGCAAGAGAAATAGAATGGAAAAAAAAAGAGCACTCAAACAAGAAGTCAATAACAAGAGGATAAACTTAAAAGGTATAGTGGAGGATTTTCACAAAATTTTTAAAAAACCCACCCCCCCCCAACTTAAAAAAAAAGATGCACAACCCTGTACCCGCTCCTGAGAGGGAACGCTTATATGCAGAGAAATAACTGCCTGCCGAGAATTACCTCCCCTCTCACAAACTTATGAGAAAACAGATTGAAATATCAATGAAAAGGGAACTTTTAAACATATTCTTAATATTCTCATATTTCTTATGTATGGATGCCCTAAAATTGAACAGATAAATGCAAAGAAATTCCTGGCTAAGGAGAATTGACCCCGGTCACAGGAGCATGCATCAACCTAAACTCTCGCACACATTGATGAGAAAGCGGATTGAAATATAAATGAAAAAGCGAATCCATGCATAATATGAAGACATTGATAAGTTTAAAAGTTCCCTTTTTGTTTATATTTCAAACTGTTTTCTAATCAGTGTGGGGGGTGGAAGTGATTTTCAGCAGCCAGGTATTTGTCAGCAAAGAGTTAGGTGAAAATGGGAGCGAGCACGTAGGAAGGCCTTACTTTAAAACATATCATCAGATTGGTTGACAATTAAGAGGGCCACTTATTTTGATGATCCAGCCAGAAAAAAAGAACATCCTCCACTACACCTTAAAGAAAATGTGAGAAGATATTACATGTCGCCTCCAGCCACTTCTGGATTCTGCAACTCAAAGCTGCCATAACTGTAAACACCTGCAGCCGTTGAGACGTGTTTCCGTGGGACAAATCCAACTATTTGGTCTGGAAATTGCTATTTAAAAAAAAAAGGAAATACTAAAAACATGGCCAACATCATGCAGCTGATTTACCAAACCATGCCAATTTGAGTCAAACAGACACTTTCATTTCAAATATATAACATGGAAATGAAACTTTACCTTCCAGACAGAAAAAGCAAAAGTGAGGTCAGGAACACTGAGGAGAGTGTCATCATCCAGCATTAGGACAGCTAAATGGTTGAAAAAGACAAATCATCATGGATTTAAGGAGGGAAAAAAAAAACTGAATAAAAAAACAATAAAAACTGTTGACATATAATGTCAAGTCAAAGTCTACCAATCAGTCTTTTCCTTACGCACAATGATTTCCATTTTTTTTCCTTCCAGGTCTCTAATTTTGAACAGTTCAATTTTATACAAAGAGAAACCATTTAGCTTTAATACATACATTTAGAAAGTATTAATAATAAGAGATTACAAAAATATACTCATTGATGTATGTAAACGTACGTCCCTAAGCTCCATCTTTTGCTGTTGGTTGTTAAATAAGACTAACCATTAGTGGCAATCTCAGGGAAGAGCTGGAGTCTGTTTCTCATTTGGTTGCTCGCCTGTTCTTTGAAGATAACCTGAACTGGATGAGGACCCAAGGATTCCCACAGCTTTGCAGGTGTCTGCTGTCCAATGTTGTTCCAAACAATGATGATCAGCTGCAGATGAGGCACCGCCTGATAATGGTTTAAAAGCTTGAGTAAAATATCTGTGCGGTTGTAGGTTTGGATGATGATGGTAAACTTCTCCTCCTTTAAAGTGTCTGTAAGTGAACTCTGAGCGGGATTCTCCTTTTGTGGCGCTGCCCTGCGCAGGACTCCCAGGACCCCAACAGCACCTCCATGGTCTTCGGCAGGAGGCAGCAGAGCTGTCAAGGCCGCTCCCACCAAGAGGATCAGCAGGAGTGGGAAAATGATAAACTTTCGACGAACCCCGAAGCAGCAACGGAGAAGCCTGCAAAGAAAAGGAGAATGAAGCTGAAAGGTTTCAGGATTAAGATAATCTGATTGTAAATGGCTGCAGATATTATATAAAAAAAAAAAGAAAACTTAGTTAAATATACATTGTTTTATCTTCAAAAAACGCTTTATTGCAAAATGCACGTATTAGAAATGTACATAGACCAGTTTAAAAAAACAAACAGTAGACATAAATAAATACTGAAACATAAACTTAGGAATAAACATTCTAGGGCTGAAACAATTAATCGGATGAATCGGGATTAATCAATTATTGAAATAATCATGAACTAATTATGTAATCGATGAATCATTAAACGGAGTATGGAGACTGTAAAACAGGCCTTTAGCTGATTAACCAACCCACTTGGGGCAAATCAGGCTGCAGTGTGAACGTAGCCTAAATGTCTTCATTGAAATCAGAGATAAATAACTACTTAAATAATAAGTAATCCATTTAATAAAATTTTAATGTATGCAGAAAAATTATTGATAAAAGTAGATAAGGAATGACAATGATTAAGATGTTCGCCCCAGAGCTCAAACTTGAAAGAATTTTAATTGAGACCGCATAGATGTTTAAATATATGCATCTATTCGTATTTATATTTCTTGTATTTCTATTGTCTACTATAAAGACTGTAGGAAAGTATAGTTAGTTTTTATTAAAAAAAAAACATGGATGTTGTGGTTGTTCCTGTTGGAACAGTGTAGATTGAGGCGCCTATGTGCTTTGGGCCCCCCCTCAGTGTACAGTGGTTATTGCCTGGCCACCTTTATTAACATTTTCTGGCTATTTATAAAAAAATGTATTCAGAAAACGTTATTTTCAGAAATACTCCAGAATATTTTCGAAACGTAATTCTAGCGTCACTGATAACATATTCAAACCAGTGATAGATTCGAGAAGCGTATTGTTTTATAAAAGGTCCAAAATCTCAGCCACGAACTGAAGCTTTGACCAAAATGCTTCTTTCCGTTCAGCTCCCTGTGTTCATATTTTATAACAGCGGCGTCTTCACTCATGTTAAACCGTTATTTAGTCATTACTCCCCACAGACATGTACCTATCTATCATGAGACTCACCTCATCTCGTTTTCATAGTTTAGTTTGTTTTACTGAGCCGCCATATTGGATGCGTAGCTATGACGCAACCATCTGATCCGATAAATGGGGTAGAAAACGTAAAATAATAAATAAAAAAAGGGAGGAGATGACCTTCTTTTAACAGCTGAAACAGACTAGATACAATAAGTAACTTTTAACAGCTAAGGTTATTTTTTTCTCAAGAGAAAACAAAGAATATGAAAGAGAAAAGGAGTCCAGAGGTGAATCTATTTTGGATGGTTCACTCCAAACCCGAGCAAAACTTTGGTGAGTTTACGATTTCGTATATTAAATAAACGGAGCCCTTCCAGTGTGAATCGGGTGGGCCTATTACTTCTCTCATCTGTTAACGTAGAATGGTTAAAGACTAACTTTTCTAAACCAAGAATGTATTTATTGCCACCAACCCTGAGCTGTCCCACAGTCCAGTTGTCTAACGGAGTGGAAATCCCAATACTTGGATTAGGTGCGTATGAGTTTACATTTAGGACATGATCATTGAGGTTTCAGTCACTATTAACATATGCATTATTTACAAACAGATGTTTAAAGAAGAATGCATGTTGTTTACAGCTGAGGTCCATTACAGCCTTGCACCAGAATTGATATTGTATCAAAATACAATAAATGTAGGGTTAGGTAATGTAATGTGGTAGTTTTTATTAGACTTAATCTAACAGTTTGTGGGTTTTTAGATGTGAGATTTTTCAAATAAACTGTATTTTCACTACAAAACTGTTTTCCTAAAAAATTATTTCCTCTTAACTAGTATCTCTGAGCAAGACATTTCTAATGTGTGAGATCAATAACATTCAATTACTATAATAATAGAGATTATAGAGGAAGGCTGATATATTTAGGTTTTGATATTTTATTACGTTTTTTTTTTCTAATATCGGACCTATATCCGATATCTATAGTGTAATGGGCGTTTGAATCTGTCAGCCATTGTAAATATCAGTAACGGATCGGGACATCACTGGTCTCAAGAAACATTCAAAGTATGATGAATACTTTAACAGTTGCATTTCAAGCTACTTTATTCTCACCGTGTGTTTTTTTCTCTCACCTTAAAAACGTATTTAGACTGTTAGCTGTCAAACAATAGATGTTTTTCTGCCAAACTTGGATAAGCTGCCCTTTTTTGCTATTGTGTGTCATTATCAAAACTACACCTTAAAATATTTTAAATAGAAAGTCTTTAAATTATTGATTGACTACTTAGAATTTTATCCGCTATTTACTTTTTTGATGAAAAACAAAGAACAATAGTCCACACTAAATCAAAGAAATCTTCTTTTAAGATAAGATTCCTATTTGCTCATCTGTCAGGTACATCTCATGATGGTGGATACTCCCATGATGCCATTGTGTATGCTCTCACTGACTGTGGCATTCGCCACCTGGACACAGCAAAGCGCTACGGCTGTGAGGAGAAGCTCGGTGACGCCATCAAAGAGAGTGGGCTCCCTCGGAGTGATCTATGGCTCACCAATAAACTCTGGCCTGGGGACTATGGCTACAAAGCCGCACAACAAGCATGCATGGATTCCTGCCGGGCAATGGGAGTGGAATATTTTGGTATGAGGTGCAACTAATAAAGCTATGGGAAGAGAGAGCTTTTGTAAAACAAATTTTCTAATTAAAGTGTCTTTACATTTTTATCATTTACCTTTAAAAGGTGTCCATGTTTTTCAGATCTGTACCTGATGCACTGGCCTGAATCATTAAAACCTGGTTGTCCTAACAGAGAGATGAGAGCTGAGACGTGGAGGGCTCTAGAGGACCTTTATAAAAGAGGTAAAAACGATTCACTGACTCCACTTCTTTTTTCAGCTAGCTCTCCATCTTCCCCATAACAAACTTTTGTGCTCTCTTTTGTCTTCAGGAATTTTCTCTGTGCTACAGCCAGTACACAACCCAGATTGCTCCCTATAATATTAATACTGCCTAAACTGGAGTTTTTCATTGCAGGGGTTTGCCGTGCTATTGGGGTGAGCAATTTTTTGGTCCATCACCTGGAACAGTTGAAAGAAGACTGTAGTGTGGTGCCCCACGTTAACCAGGTCATTCTCCCATACTTTCAGTTATTTTATTCTTTAATAATGACAGTCCACGCCAAAGCTCAGAAGTTGATCCTAGACCTAAATATAATCCTGAAAGGCCTCTTACAGAACAGTTTACACAATGTTTGAATTTCTGCTTTATAAATTGCTGTGATCCGAGAGCTCTATTGCTAAAAAAAATGATAATGGAGATTCTTTTCTTTTTCTTGCCCTTAAACAAATTTTTCTGAGAAATAAACAGAAATGAACAACTACTGCTTTTACATTTCAGGCTTAGTGAAGTATTAAAATGATGACTCCCCAATTGAATGTTTTTTACACGGATGCTTTAAAACACTGTTGTGTTTATTAACTGACTTTATCAGGTGGAGTATCATCCTTACCAGCAGCCCAAGGGTCTAATGGAATATTGTCGAAGCGGTGGGATAGTGTTTGAAGGCTACAGTCCCCTGGCTAAGGGTCAAGTGCTCAATAATCCTGTTGTACAGCAAATTGCAAAAAAGCATGGAAGAACGGCTGCTCAGATCTGCATTCGCTGGAGTATTCAGGTGTCTAATTTGTTTTATGGCTACTACATTTAGTGAGGTTTTTTTTAAAATATGTTTTTAACCACTTATTTTCTGTTTTACTCTTACTCTTACTGTTTTACTCTTAGAATGGAGTTGTCACTATACCAAAGTCCACCAAAAAGAACAGGATACAGGAAAACTGTCAAGTGAGTTTTAGGCCTGTTGTTTTTTTCCAGCCTTATTCATGTCCATTCAGAGTGGCAACATATCTGATGGATTGCTTTTAATGGGCTTTAAATTCATTTAATCTAAACTGTTCATGCTCAGTGCAATAGTTTATTGATATTGTGTGAATTTACAACATATGTAATTTCAGTGCACTTTACACTCACTTTAGAGTAACTACAAACAAATCATGCAGGCCTGTTTCTTTAGTTTATTATAAACGTTCTGTTGAAGCATAATGGATAACTTATTTTCTGACTAATTTATTCATTTTCATAGAACTTTTATTACCTTTGTCAGATTCGAGTTATTTTTGTGACCATTGTGCATTTTTCTTTCACTAAACGAGAGAAAGAGAAAAGAGAGAAAATAAAACAAAACAGCAAAAATAGACAACACCTGCACGTTTTTGGGGCCTACAACGTGGGAGGAGGCAAACACGTTCATCCAGTAACATTCACACAATCCCACCCTTGCAACATTATGGACATATACACCAACACTTGACAGAGAAGCGCACAGGAGGACACTAGACATATTCTTACACTCCTCATACAAATATTATGTTCTGCATCTTGGGGCCAATCCCCCTAAGGGGAACAGACCTAGGAGGAGATCCTCAGACCCCCAAGTGTGTAAAGGGGGCAGGCAGCTCTAAAGAAAAGGGAGCTCCTCCAAAGGAAGAAAAGCATGCGTATGTGTATGGTTCTCTCACACCTCACATGACTCATTCCCCCATCATGAGGTTTGACCGAGTCAGGTGTACACCTTTTTTGCACAAGTATGCAATTACATGGTTTTAACCAAAGGCAACTAGTAGGGGCCTCACTTTACCAACTAGTCATTTAACTCTTTTTCTCTTACAGGTATTCGGCTTCCAGCTGGACGAGGAAGACATGGCTACTTTAGGAGGCCTACAAGATGGACGGCACGTAACTTGGGATCCTACAGATGTGGATTAAAGATTCATGAGAAAACAAATAGATTATAAAAATACTTTTTGAAATGATGGATGAGGAAGGTTTTGCTTTTAAAATGAACCATGTAACATGCACCTTTCCTTGTTTAAAACTTTTAAAGTCCCTTCCAGTAGCAACTTTTTCTGTTCAAACCACCTGTCAACTCCATATGAAGTCAAACTTAATTCAACTTTTATTTTATCTTTACATTTTACTGTTAAGTATATAGTTCTTAGCTGATTAACTTAAACAATTATTGCAGTAATTCCACAGTTGAATAGGTCTTAAAGTATCCATATAATACCCATTAATTTAATAACCAATTTGATATTTTGGACGATTAACCAGATCTTTTGTCTGCAATTATAACAGTGGTTTTATATTTTTGCAGAAATTAATTGAAAATATACCTTATTTCGTGAGTTTAATTATCTAGAAGTGGGTGTATGCTTTACACATTATACAGAAAGATATATATTGGATCGGCCACTCTTTAACATAAATTTCTCCATGCAGGAAACCAGATTTCAATCATTTTACATAATAGACTGCATGTTTAAGGATAAAGAAGGACAAGGAAACTCCTCAGTTAGCAATATCATTTAATCTTTTCCCCTCAGCTTAGAATCACTGTTGCACATAAGTTACATTTTGTTTTCTCAATTTCACAGGTTCTTTTTCCTTTCTTCAAACTTCCAGTTTGAGATCCCTCTCGTATCAAACAAACAAAAAAAAAAAAAAAAGCAGATTGTATTATACAAAAATGCAAACCAATTTTCACACAGTGAATTCTCTTACAAAGTCATAAAATGGCGTATTAATGGCTACATCCACATTGGAGGAAGATAATTCTAGACATTCCTTAATGGAGTATAATATACATATAAAAACCTTTTTTTCCTTGCTGAAATCAAACCTGTACCTTAATTTAAGAGATATTTTACAAGGGAGTAATAATATATATATATATAAAAAAAATTCAATTTGTGAATTTCCTCAGAAAGTCTGAGAATAAAATGTGAGCCTCGAACAGCAGTAACAGAGGTCAAGGGTGTGGGTGGCATTTTACCATTAAAGGATATAGGCAGCAGTTTCACTCAAAACAAAACACACAAGATTGAAATAAACATCTTTGCCATTTACTATAAAGTAAACTCCCCCCATACAATCACTGCACAAACGCGTTGCTAAGCTAATAGGTGTTTTCGGCTCATTCCGACCTGCAATGACCCAATCAAGCAGAATGAGCTTTTTGGTAGTTTTGGCTTCCTCACTTTTAGAGCTCATTGGTATGACTCCATCTTCATGACATGTTCATTTTTTTTTCTTTTTAAATCTAATGTTCCTTAAACAAATAATGTAAAAAGAGCATTAGGGAGGAAATGAAAGCTAATCTGAAAGAGGAAACTTCCTGGTTACTCTCACTAGAGCAGTCGTGGGGAAAAGAAAAAGAAAAAAAAGAACAACCAAAACCTGATCTAAAAATCTCAACACTAATACCAGGTACAGCACAATTAAAGGAGAGTTACCAAAAACAAATGAAAAGGGGAAAAAAAATGTGGGTATGTTTTCTACAATACAATCTATCACACACACACGAAAAAAAAAACATCTCAATATAAATCTCCAAAGTTACAGATTTTGTCTTCTTCGGAAGCATATTCTATAAAGAACAACTTTGTTTGAACACAAAAGATTAAGTGAACACACATCAATGCACACAGAGGTCCTTCGTCTGGGAAAGGATAAAGTCTGTGTTGGCAACCAGTGGACAGAAAAACAAATAAAAAAAACAAACAACATTTAGCTGATTCTAAGTAGAGATCATTTAATATAAATGCTGAGCAAGTAGAATAAGAGGTGGCACATTAATAGTGCTTTAGTATATTAATGTATGGATACATACTCATATGTATAGGTGAGCTGTGTACCTAAATAATAAATGTAGCGAGGAGCAGCCTGAGGCTTTAAGTGTGGATGGAAATAAAACTGCAATCCTGATGAGGACACAGAAATCTGTTTATGCCTTAAACAGATTCACCAGAAACTAAGAAACTTTATCAAAGTGTCAGTTTATAAGCAATATGAGGACTCAGCATAACCCCTCGAGCCAGAACATCTCAATCTATTTAACCGTTCAAGCACATAAACTCATGCTTATTGTTTACAGAAGGCAGAGAGTTCTGTGTTGTTATCAGTGGTAAACAGTTTTTCTGTTGAAGAAAGAGCTATAGCAGTACTAATGGTGGTGAGGAAGACGGCATGCGCTGCTAAAACCTAAATTGAAATCCGCTCTAGGGAATGTTGGCATAATTCAGGACAGAGTTTAGAGGCAGATCTCCCTTTCAGTAACCAACATTTGTCGAATCTGAGCTGCAAACATGTTGTCCAATCAACTATGCAGCTGCAGCAACAATAAGATTCCCCAAAAGTAGCGGAAAGTGCAACTATTCTGCAGAGAGGACACGTTTATCACGTATTTCTGTATGATATTATAAAGAGGTAAGCTGCACCACCCAAAATTGTAACAATGCAAAGCAAACAATCAAAATTAAACTAAAATAAACACACAAGGGAAGGCAACTTCATAGAAGTTATGAGCACAAATGACAAGATGATCCCAATGGGGAGGCCTCTGTGTGGCCAGTGAAGATGCTCTGATGAGTGAAACGCCTTTTTTTTTATTAAACTTAATATCTGAAAAATTAACTCATTTATTTGAGTCTTCTAAAGTAGAAATATGTTCTCAATTCTTTGTAATGTAAGGTTTCTCAAGAATACTTTTGAAGATCACCTCACTACTCAGCAAAAGTTGGCCTAACTGAGCTGAGAAATGGGTGAAATTCGACAATTTCAACCTCACACAGCAACACCTAATATTCCTTTATCAAAAAAGAAATATTATAAACATAACTGCAATCTTTAAAACAGAATGCTTTCATTAAATAGATAACTGCTTTCAAGTATGAAACAAAACTATGTTTATAAAATAAAAAAAAAAGACATACCCAGAGAAATGCAATTCTAAAAGCACCTGATGTGTCCATTTCGGCTGAAAACAGGTGGATTCTGCGTTTCCCTCCTCAGACATCTACATCTGGCCAACCTCTTGTTACCATTTTGGGGGCGCGCCCTGAGCCACACGTCGGCTCTTTCCTATACTGCTGTCACATTACAAAACTCAGAAAAGCTCCTTAAAATGAATGTGAGTGTGTGAAAGTGCTTTCTAACTTGTGAACCTCTGCATGTAACCATTCCGACTCTATGGGTAAACCATGAACCTGCTAATGTGGCGGGGTAATCAATTTGCTTCTAATGTGTAATACATTTTAAATAAATATACACCTGCAGTCATCATCACCACCATTAATTCTTCTTAATTTTGAGCCTTGTTAATCAAATAACAGTACAAAAAAACAAAAAAAGAAATAACACACAAGAAATGTTATTATATGCTCTGGTTTCCAGGCAAGGAAGGTCATAAAAAAGCTCATTCACAGAACAAAAAGAAAGAAAATTCATCACGGCAGATACTGCTCATCTTCTAAATAGAATGGGTGTATGTGTGCCTGTGCATGCTTTTCAAATGAGCATTTTTTGTGTCTGTGTGCGTGTGTGTGTCTGTGTGTGTAGATAAATGTGTCCTTCCTATGAGCAGGAATGGACAACGCCGTTTTTCTGCATCTCTGACCCAGTGACGACGGGATCAGAACACAGGCTCAGTGTTGCTGTCTTATTGGCCAGTGACAGCATGGACCCGCCCACCGCATTTTCTGGCAGACTACTGGAGCCGTTGGACACCTCGCTGAATTAGAAGTGGAGAGAGAGAGAGACCACAATAAGCCAAAAGCAATAAATAGAATCGATAGAGTTCAAGGAAGTTTATGCTCACCCCAGAGCCAGAGACATTTCCTCAAGCTGGCTCTCATGCTCTGGCTGTCCATTCTCTGCAGACTGCATTTTGTACTGCTGAACATCATGAGTTACCTGGTTTTCTTGCTAAACAGAAGGAAAATGTATATATATATAAAAATCTGTTGTATTCCAAACTCCTGAATATATTAGATAACTTTATTTATACACAGACAGAGAGAGCCCCTTACCAAAGCCATCTCACGGGTCCTCTTGCCGATTTCTCTCTCCACCTGGTGGAGCTCCAAGCTTAACTGCTCATTGGAGACTGACACACTTGCACCCCCTGCTGGCCATTTGGGCTGAGGTTGCTGTGGTACAACTGCTGTCTTACTCTGACTGGGCTGCACAGGTTGGCCCCCCAATGCGCTGGCCTCCCTCTGCAGGAGCAAAGAGTTACCTGCCGCCTGCAGCGTTGGGACAAAGTGCAAACAAGGAGGGTGGAGACATGAAATATGGGCAAAAATAAATGTATAAAAGACTTAAACAATTGCTTTGGTGCCTCAACTTCAGATTTATCCAACATACCTCCATGTTGTGCATCTGAGTTTGTTGGGTGATCTGCTGATTGACCTGTTGCAGCTCAATCTTTAGCTGTTCTCTGTCTGGGGTTGACATGGGAAGGCTGGGAGAATACAACAAATATCACTACACAACATTTGAAATTCTCAATTTAACAGGTGCACTCAAAAGTTTTCTAAATTCACTCTAAAAATATATAAGTGTTGTGGTTTATCAATCAACAGGGAAAAAATAAAAATAAAATTTATTTACCGCTCAATAAAATGTCCCTGAGAGGAAGAGGCAGTCTGGTGGGAGGGGTATGAAGCACCACCCCATCCTCCATGACTTCCATATGAGTATTCTGCAGAGGGGAAAAAATAATAAAAATCCTGCAATGAAAACCTGGATATTATCACACCATACAGTGCAGCTAATCCATATTTTTATAATGAAAAAACTCAGGTGGAGTTTCCAAGTAGTTAACTAGATGATATTCCAAAACATTTCTCAATACCACTTATTTTTAGCAGAGGTGCACCTAAATAATGTCATTAAAAAAACTCGTTCAGAACATTTCAAGTACTTATTCATAATAATATAATAAAAATGCTACCCTTTTTTGTTTTTATTTTTTTTCCTTTAGTGTAAGACTTCCAGACTTTTTGAACCCAATGCTAAAGCTGTCAACAGTCACTGCTGCCAACCTCTGGGTAAAGGAGGAACTGCTTACCGCGCCAACTAGCCCTTTCTCACAATGTTTACAATACTTGTCACAATACTTAAAAAAATTCCTGGAATGAATCATGATCGATATGAATCAAAACTGAATGGATTTTTCCTTTGGAAGAGGAGCAGCTTTGCAAAAAATGTCATTAGAATCTGTTCAGAATCTTTAAGGTTTTCCTGTCAATTAACAAACCAACAAACATGACTAAAACTTAACCCCCTTGGTGGAGGTAAATACCAGGCAGCAAAGCAAAATGCAGGTTGAAAAAAGGTCTAAAATTTAAAAGTCCTAATTAACTTTAGGGTTAGGCAGCACTTTTCTGTAGACAGACACGTCCTAGTCCTCTTCTCTGCTTCCAGAATTACACTTGGCAACAAGGTGGAAAAACATGTCTGCCCAGTAATACTACTGGGGCTTCTACAGACGTTTAAAAATAAATAAAAACACACTGGCCAATAGCCACATTAACACCACTAACTTGGGCACCATTAATGAGGATGATGTGCAATTTAAGAATAAAATAATAGATAAAAAAAAGACCAATCCGTTAAGAAACGTTAAGTTGACTGGATCTTAATTCCATTAGCCATCCATAAGATTCTTTTGAGAAAATAATAGTACCTGATATTTATAATGCCAAATGTTCCAAAAATTAAATGTGTATATAACAGTTACGAAAATAAGGCCTAGTAAGTATAATTATAATGTAAAATCTTTAGTCCAAACCACACGCCTTCTTTGGTCCTATAACTGGATGCAGGTGTCCTACCTGGCATGGTCATGTGTTTAGAGTTTGGGTTTTGGGGAGTGGAAGCCATAGCCTGAACTGGGAAAGTGGTCTGGTAGCCTGTCTTTGAAGTGCGAGAGATGGCACCGAAGCGTGACACAGTCGGCTGTGGGCCAAAAGGTATAATAGGGTCATCATCTTTCACTTCTGTTCCCCTCCGAGGAGCCTCCAATGAGGGTTCCCTTTGACCTTTATCCTCCACATTCTGCTAAAAACAAAGAGCAGATGAGAAATACACAAATACCTTTAACACATTCTAACTGATGCCTACAGCAGAATTAACTAGCAGTTACCTATCTGAACTTACCATCATCTCCATGGTACCAGGAACCATAACATTTTTGGGTTTGGCATCCTTTGTGTTAATATAGGAGCCAATGGTTTCACAGGACCAGGGGGAATACTGCCCTGCATAGTTCGAATCTCTGCATTTCACCATCCCTTTTGAGCTGTCATCATACTGCACGGGAGAACAAAGTCATTAAACAGACTGACTCTCTGCAGCATTACTGCTCAAAAGTTATTTTTTGGGGAAAAAACAGTGTTATTTGTGTAGGAATAAAATTCACCTCAGTGGGGTAATCGCTGGGGAAAGGATGAGAAAGCGTGGGGGAGGCAGCAAACGGAGGAGGGGAGATCACCTTCCTTTCTGCCAGCTGAGATAACAGTTCCTGCCGTCGTCGATGGAGATAGTCTAGGCTTGGCTGTGAACCACTGTACGACCCCTAATAAAACAAAACAGTCAAAAATACCACTGCTGAACTGTAAACGGTCTAATCCGCAATGATTAAAAACCAAACAAATCTTCATGGCTTTGAAGAACGAAAGTTGACATACCCTGACATAAGCCCTCATGGCTGGAGGCTGGGAACCTTGTGGGTAGTAACCATCTGGAGCGTATCTGTCCCGGGAACCTGGCCCCTCATGGTAGAGGGAGCTGGTCTGCCCCGCCGAGGGTGGAGGAACATCAAGGGGAGCCTGATTCATTTTGACAAGGGGATCCCTCCCAGATGGATAAGGCTGAGGGGGAGGAGGAGGGGCACCGTAGGCACCGTGGTGACTTCTATCATAGTGAGAAGGGTGAGTATAGGGGAAAGGTGGGCCAGAGTGCTGAGATGGGTAGGCGCGCTCTGGAGTACTGTACCCTGTGTAAGGGTCATGGTAAGGGGGTCCTGACTCATTCGGGGGAGGGGGGTTAAGGATGTATTCCCGAGGAACATACTGTGTTGGCTGTTGGTAGGGATAACCTGGGAAAAAATTAAAAACATTCAAACAACTGACATAAAGACTCAATCCTGTTTAAATACATAAAAAAGAAACACCTAGCATGCCTGTTTGTTGGGTCATTTTTTTTTTATGTTAAAAACCAAACTTAAAAGAGTAATTGTTTAAGAACCTTTGGTGAAATAATCAGTAGAAAGGAGTTAAACAGTATATTGTTAAACAAATAGCTTTACTTTAATTAATTTTTTTATTTAATATAATTTATAAACGCTCCAACTTGCTTTTTACCTGAGATTGTTAAACAGTGATTAAGGATTTAAAGATGGGATGGAAAGATGTAAAATAAGAGCCTTCACCGTTTCACAGTGAGGGCAGGACAGTTATTGACAAACGGCAGAGAAATTTCATCAGATTTCCAAGCTAAATCTGAGAACCCACCATAGCAACCAAATACTTTGGCTGTGGTCACACCGGGTGATCAGCTCTCCTTTGACAAGAGCTAAAGAGACCATGTTTGGTTTTTGAGCGACACACTTTAGCAATTACCTGCAGTAATGCAGAGATGTGAAGCAAAGCACTGCTCTCCAGAAGGTAGTGTACTCTTTGAGTGGCCTAAAAAGATGTCTAGAGCATGGATTTGGACAAAAAAGCAGAGGCAGGACCCATTCTTTGATTGGATTATTTTCGCCATGTGATGAAATACGCTCACTTGACGGAAGACTTCTAAGTGTTTTCGTCACTATCGCTATCCATTTCATTGTATATATTCGCTTTGTTGGATAACAATCTCCTGGGGTGCCTTTACTCTAATAAAATTTAGTATAAGCTAAAAAAGCAGAACCAGCAAAACAGCCTTTTCTTTTTGAAAAATTATAAATTTTATCTCCACACTTAAAAATTAACTGTAATTAACTGCAGAAAAGGACCATCAGTTAATGTTTCATCCAACCTTTAACACTCAACGCAATGCTAAGATTCTGATCAATCATATTTATCCTAAAAATATTTTACTTTCACTTTTAATTTAAAGCATCTCTTTGCAAAAAAAAAAACAAAAAAACATGACATGTTTCTACCTTGATAAAATCATGTGAACTTGTTTTTATTTTTTTACCTGCTGGGTACTGTGGCGGCTCATACTGAGAGGCAGGTGGCGGACGAATGTCATATACGTCACGGGGTTGTGGTTGAGGATAAACCGGGGAACCTCTGGGAACCCCAGATATATGCTTAACCCCTGAGAGATGATCTGCTGGCATCCTTGGGTGAGCCATTGCATGAGGTGGCAGTGGTATACCGGTTTTGGGCATGGAGTCCAGGCTAAAGGAAAGAAGGATTTATGAATTGTTATTTTTTCTACCATCATATTCTTCTCTTTAAAATTATCTCAACAGGTAAGGATTTGTGTAATATTCTCTCTAATATAATTATATCTTCTAGGGCATAATTGCACTCACACATCAGGCGGTGATCCCGGGACACTTGGATTTCCTTCATCCACCTTGACCTGTTTAGGTAACAGCTCATATGAGACTGTGTCGGTGCCGCGAGCGACTAATTGTGCGCCGCTGCCATTGGTGACTGGTGAAGGCTTTCGGGTCACTGCTACATCAGGAGTAAGGCCATCTTCTGAGAAAAACACTCCAACTCCTGAGCGAGCCGCCAGCCGCTTATTCATCTTACGATACCTGGCAAACAAAGAAAGGTGTTATAATAGACCTACAAACAATGCAGTGACAGTGAATAAAGCGTCAACTATTTAAACTCACTTCTCTAGTTCTTCCTGAGAGTGGGCAAAGGTACAGCTGGCTCCACGCGGACACCCTCCTTTCTGCTTCATGTCGCGGCACATGTATGTCTTGTATTTGCTGTGCTGAGGAGGCTGAAGGGAAACAAAAGAACAAAAGATATATATTTACCACAAACAGCTAAAAACAAAAACCCTTAAGTGAAGGGTAATCTAAAGTTTGTGTGTCAAAGAAACTGATTTTGTTGTTTAATCCTTACTGAAGAAGTCCGATTAAGACTGACCTGTTGAGGATCAGCTCCTTTCTTGCTGTGGTGTTGAATGAAGTCCACCAAACCCTGTACCACTGTTTTCACTGCTACCAACCCCTTCTCTAGCTGGTCCCATGTCGGAGGAGGAGCATCTAAAAAAGAGAGATCAAGAAACAAGGGCCAAAAAAAAACTAAGAATGAGAAAAAGTCTTTATTTAGGTTTCCCTGAAAGAATTCAGCTGATGACCTGAAGCAACCAATCTTCTGTCTGATGGGCCTCGACTCAACCTCAGCCAGATAGAAATGCAAAACGTTTTACCATAAAGGACTTCACCAAAAACTAGCTATCTGGCCTCTGGAGTGACATCCGCAATGATGTGTTGCTATTAACAACGCCTTAAAGTTGTCAATTTTTAGTATCAGTTATGAGTTAAATAATTAAGTCCAATGAAGTAGTTTCAAGAAAGTTCCTAATATGTCTAGAAATCTCTTTAGTTTATTCATATTTTAACAAAACCAGAAAAACAGCAAGAGCATTTCAGCAGCTAACAGGATGGCTAATTTATTGCTGCACAGTTACTCTGGTGAGCTATAAAGCTACATCTGCCGTGAATCTTGCTAACCTTGTGCTGCAAGCTGGATTGTCAAGAGATACGAGTTTTCAGTCTCACAACAATTCCATCTTGAAAGACTCCAGCTAATACGTCTGTCTCGTAAAAACCAGCGAGTTGGACCAATGACATGCCAGCTGTGTTTTTTGGGGCAGGACATGTAGGATCGATGACAATCAGAAGGGCCTTGCCGGGCATTGGAAACATGACGTTAATCAAAATTTTACTTTGTGTTGCTTAAAACGCCTTCATGCACAGGTGTTTGTCTTGCAAACCTGTGCAAAAATCGTTGCATAGCGACATGATTTCTCCGTAAGCAGCCAACGATGGTCTACATAATAATACCCCATAGTAATTACATCCCACCTGACATTCCTGGTGCATGTCTGAACGTCACGATTCGCTGATATGATTGGCTGAAAGCGTATTATACAAGGCGGGTACTAGCTGGCACATCACCCAATCAGCTCAAAGTATTGTACTAAACATCCTTCTTTTCACCGTCAGACTGAAAGCAGCCATCCCAGATTTATAACGTAGAACTCAATTAAGTTCTACACATATCAATCTGGTTACTGCTAGGTTAGAATCTTGCTGGGTTTGCAGAGTTTTTAAGTTACTTATCCTCTAAAAAATATTCGGATTCTGTTGTTTTAAATTGCAAACTGTGCCGGTTATAAATATGAGGTGAAATCCAGCCTCATAGCATGGAAAAAATAGATGATTCAAAATACCGCTTTGAGATTTTTAGTTAGTCTTTGAGAAATTCATCTAAAATAGTTATAGTTGAAACGACTAAATTCAGACGGATTCATATCTAGTCATCCATCTGGCATATTTCCAAACACAGGACCAATGAAGTTTGCTTTCTTCTTACCAGGACTGGGATCGATGTTTGCCAGCAGTTCTAAGTGGGGTCTTAGTCGGTTGAGGTTGGCTGGGTCTCCAGTCCTTTGCAGTGCAATCGTCAGCTCCTGTACACTTTGAGCAAAAGATGCCGGGGTCTGCAGCTATACAGCAAAGTAGAAAAAGGAGACACATGACACCTCAGTTTGCTGGAATCTCCAAATGAACGGCCCTTTGTATTAAACTGTTGAACCATCCACAATCAAAACTGTGAATAGAAAAAAAGCTTCCCTTTTACATACCTTATCAATAATAGACTGCATATGTGACTTGTGGGACTGATCTCCATACAACAGAGAAGACCACTGGTCAGGGGCAATGCGCAATCCACCCTCCATTGCAATCTGAACTATCTGAGAGTCATGCTCTCGCCGCAGAGCCTCATAAGTACGAAACTCTTCTTTCAGCTGCATGAGGGACGAATCTTCATCCCGTTTGGTAACCTAAAGCCACAGGAGAAGGATATCTTAATACCCAGTTCAACAGTTATCAAATTTGATCTTTATCTTGTAAATATAGCATTATCCATTATTAAAAACTTGTTTCTCTGAATAGAAAATGTTAGAGATAGAGTGAACTAATCCCAAAGCTAAAGGGTATCCGATTAAACATCAATGATCCAAAAACATCAAGGACTGACGGAGATATACCTTGAAGCAAGAAGCCCTATAGAGGAGCTGTACCACATGGCCTATACTGGTTTTAGAGGCCTGAGGGAAGCGTGGTTCAAGCCTTTGGACAACGAACAGAACCAGCACTTTCCTGGACAAAGCAGAACCATCCTCCAAAGCAAGAAGAACCAACTTGAGGGCTTCCTCCTGCATTGCTGGAGTAAGAGAAACCACAATGATGAAAAGTTTGACTAACAGCACAGTTTGTTGTTGGGGTTTTAATTCAATTTACTGAATGAGTACTGGCATCCCTTTGTATCTAACAAACCCCTACCTGGTCCAAGAAACTGACAACCTCGTGCACGGACTGCTGCCCACAGATTAGAGGAGAGCTGCTGTGGGTTCTGGTGCTGCAAAATGAGTTCGGTGACCGTTCGCTCGCCAAGAGACCTGGCAGCTCTCATAGCTCTAACTCGTCCCTCCTCCTCCACCAGCTGGCAGTGGACCAAAGTCACCAGTTTCCTCTGCATGGGTCGACTCAGCATACTTTGGGCTGTGCTGCTCAAACCCACACCTGGAGAGAGATTTATGAGGACATTTCTTAAAAACTATGGCATCACCTCAATTTCAATCCAGCAAACCTGTCCCTCAAAGAATACATGCGTTCTGGACATCTACATAAAAATGTTAACATTTCCAGCATGATAGATGGGGGTTTAATCAGGTGTCACATTATACGAAAACATTACACTTAAAAAGGCTAGAATAAAACCAACACATCTGTTAAATGATTGTAGTTTTACCCTAGGATAATAAAAATTATGACTAAAAATTTAAATAGATATTTTGACTAACTTTGTGCATTTCTTTTATTGGAATAGCAAAAAAAAAAAAAAATTCTTCCAAAGAGTAGAGTGCTGTGCTTTTTTGTTGAAAGTGTGTCCATTCGTTCAATGTGCATCTGTTTATCAACGCTACGTCAAACATTAACATGACCTCTGGCTGAGTAACCTAAAGTGCTTCAGAATGAGCAGTTAGTTAACGTGATAAAAACAATATATCGAGCCTTAGAAAGGAGATTACAAATTTGTTCACCTTTTAAAAGTTGTAAATTATTAAATCCCATGATTAATACTCATCTATAATAAATAGGAAAATCTGTCCCAGAGTTAAAGGATATTGTAAATATATGTCACAGAAAAACATTCTCTTTTTTGGATCGGTGTTTGCATGGATTTTTTAACCAAGTGTTTTTATACATCCATAGGAATGTAAAACAAGGTTTGAAAAAAAAAAAAAGTGTACTTTCTGCATTGATGTATACCATTACTATAGCAACAAAATAGTTACAAAGATATAGTTGTAATTTAGTTTTACTGCTAGAGTGTGGTATTCTGATTGAATGGTGGATCTTCTACCCCCTGTAGCAGAGGTGTTTGCTCTTTTTCCCTATGTGTCAGCCATCTTGGTTTCACTGACTTTATTTTTCCACTTCATTGACCAACAAGTGGGATTTTTTTGTTTGGGAGGATGCAAACGCTTACACTAGATTGGACTATATCCGTAAGTTCCCAAAATTGAAGGTGTATACATATATATAAAAAAAATATACACTGTAGTGATCACAATCGTTTAGGTGCTGATGGCTCGAGTACCTCTGGTGTTGCTAAGGGGTTTGAGGTAAAGGGCCAGCTCTTCCACACATTGTCTCGCCACCTCATAGTTCTGAGTGTCCTCTGGACTTGTAATCAAAGCAACCGGCTGAGCCTTGGGAACCTGGAGGAAAAAAAGCAAAATAAGAAACTTTAAGTGCATCTTGCAGAAACATTCTGAACTTATTTTGTCCCAGTTTGTAGCACCAGCTAAGTTGCTGCTAGAATGTTGAGTATAATCAAAACACTATTTAATGAAACACGTTACCCCCTTAGATAAAACCAAGATAGATTAATACATTTCATACTTAATGATTACACCTATCCCCTGTGCAGGGGCTAGGTACTAGGGGCCACTTACTAAAGCCATAACATCTGGCTCTAGGCCAGGTCCAAAAACTACTTAAACCCAAGCCTTTTCTCACACTGGTGTCAGTGATGACACTAATAAGGTAGGTTAGAAGTTAAACCACTGCTGACCGACTGCTAGTAACAGAGCTATCGTCAGTATTCAGTTGATGGGTAGATGTGAGTGAGAAACAGAGCTTGACAACATACACACAGCTTTCACTACAATGATCCCACATTTCAGAGTTGAATGGCTGGGCTGGGCAAACATCAACAAGGCAACAAAATTTGCTTTACTTTCCATGTTTGAACAACCAAAGGAGAATAAAGCTGGCTTCACAAAGACATTGTTCTTCTCTTCTCCCTTTTATAAGATTTAACTCGTGTAACAGAAGGAAAAAAGTGTGGATCACAGGACAGTCAGAGGCAAGCTAAGGGCATGAGGGAATTTCTTTCCCGGTAAAAATGAGTTCTAGTGTCACAAAGAAATCAAGAATGGGATGATTGAAGTTCCCAGTATCACAAAAGACCAGGGATGACGCATAGGATGGCCTCAGACATCGGCATTGTCTTAACATGAAAAGGCGACAACGTAATTGAGACAGTGGAAATTTAGGTTAAGCCCTTTAGACACTATGGTCCATCACATCAGAGAATATGAGGGTTTACTCTTCACATAATTCTATATTTTTGTTTCAAAAATAACAGTGAATCAAGCTTTTTCTATATTTTGGGGGAGAATGAAATTGTTTTTTAAAGATGGTATTATACATATTATATTAAAAAAACCTGAAGGCAAAAATCCCAGAACTTCCTTTTTCATAATGAATGCGACAGTGGAATAAAGACATAGAGAAAGTAGGGAGGTTATCGTTTTGTGCAGAATGTATGAAATAAGCCCCAATCAAAAATAATAAATAAATATTCCTCTCTTGTCTATTAGTCAGACAGACATTCAGCAATGAGTAAGCTGAAAGCAAATCGGTGTTGATCTGTGTGCTGCATTTAAACATTGATCTGAATTCTGAAATAAAAACAACATCTATGTAGTAGACATCCAGTGCCCTTTGTTTTTGACATTGGCTAATAAACAACGCTAGGAGCAACACTATTTTACCTCTTGAGCAACAAATATTTAAATGAAAAACAAAAACGTTCAACACCATGTCAATACATTCCTTAATGTTGAGCCTTTTGTCACGTGACATTATGAAAGCATGAGGAGATGGAGCTATTAGGAAACTTTACAAGTATTGCTATGCATCATAGCCACCAAAATCGGTCTGAGAAACAACAAGAGACAAAATCATCCTGGTTTATTCAACTTGCTTCATTAAATACAAATCAGGATAAAAAAAAAACAGAATTACCTTTAGTATCTGGAGAGTAACTTTAAATCTAAGACAATAATTGTTCATATCTGGTTAGATATTATGGTTTTATATATCAGCACTAGCTATGTGGGGGAGGTGGGTGCTAAGTTTAATCCTTCTGTCTTGTGTGATATTTGCTTCCAAGTGAGAGCACAGTTGGTGTTTTAGTTCCCATGTTCTTATTTTTATCAGTTAATAAAGGCTTGAGCATTTCCATCCATTAGGATGTTAAATTGGAAATGTATTTTGTAAATAGTAAGTAAATGAATGTTTTTTATAATAACTCATGAGGTACTGACCATAATAAAATGATAGTAGGTAAAAATGAAATTGAAATCAGACAGGAGTGAAACCCTGCTCAGTTTCTGACTCAGAGGTTAATTGGTGGAGACAGTATTTTGCTGTTTTTCAATAAGCAGATTTGTGAAATAAAACTACCAGGTTTCAATATCTTGAAAAAAAACCCTGATTGATTTATGTGTAGATAATTGCTTTTTAAATAGCACAGAAAAAAAACAAAACAGAGAAAGGAAACCAATGGTTTTATAAATTGTTTTAGAAAATATAAACATAATTTGGCTGCAAATTGATTTATGTGTAGATAATTGCTTTTTAAATAGCACAGAAAAAAAAAAAAACAGAGAAAGGAAACCAATGGTTTTATAAATTGTTTTAGAAAATATAAACATAATTTGGCTGCAAAGATTTCAACAAAATGTTAATTGCAATAAAAACAGACTACTATTTTTAGAAGACAGTAACTAAAAGTATTTTTGCAAATGTAGGTCAAACCCATTCATTACCTGGAAATGTAACACAGTTCTATGTAAAATGGGGATATTATTTAGTCAGTTTGGTATCATATGGTGTAGTGTTAGCACAAATATAACCTGAGACGAGGGACAGCCATAACTACAGATGATGGGTTTTTTTGTTTTAAGGTTGTTAAGACTGAGAGTTTCTATTACGGCACTGTCAGCTCTGCCTCACCCTGCTGGTCAAACATTGCCTCATAGAAACACGACTTGATCCACTGTTATAGAACTTAGTAAACCAGTAAAATGTAGTTCATAGCTTAATGTGTGTAAATTGACACATTAAAGGAATCCCCATGCTGTGAATGTTGTGTAAAATATCGTAAGAGGCTATAAACCCATACTTTTCCAAGCAATGTGAACTGATACACTTGTTTGGTAACCAACGACAAAGCCTCTCACACACGTCTTACCTGGCCTCCCACCAGCTGCAAAAGGGCTGTGTTGACAGGTAACTGCTCAATGTCTGTGCTGATGGCCGTCTGGTCGAAAGGACAGGCCTTGCGGTGCAGCTTGTTTAGGCACATCTTGCACACAGTGTGTCCGCAGCCCAAACTGATGGGCCGCCGGATAGTTTCCTCAAACGTCTGCGTGCAGATCGGGCACAGCAGGAACTCTGTCCATTGTGGCGCTTGCACAGGCATGATTATATGTGGATGGGATGTGTGTGTGTGTGTGTATATATATATATAAATTTAAGTAAGAAGTAACACAAAGAAAAATATAATAATTATATATATATATATAGATATATGGAAGATTCCACTGGAATCAAGATTTGTTCTTTTGTTTCTGAACTAATTGTTCTTAAATGTCCTCACACATGGTGGATGGTGGATCACATCTCGTGATGAATACTGTAAAAAGAAAAAGAAGGACAATGGTGAGAATCCCTGGTATATCAAACACTTTACAAAATGTCAATTTACGCTTTCTAACTCAACTTTTTCCAAGTGTTAAAATAAAATATTTGCCTTATAGTTCATTTTACTGCAGCCTCTTGTCTAGGATTAAACCAGGTGAAAGTAAAGCTTTTCCCATTGTGTAGGTCTGGATAGGGCATATTGACAGGAAAAGTTCTTTTTTATCTTAAATGCAAAACATTTCTATACTTTTTCTTTATCTTGGTATATTTACTTGTATAATTTGGTTGCTCTGTCAGCCAAAGCCATGTTCTAGAGTCTCTATACTCCAGTAAAAGAGTAATCAATTACTGAATTAGTTGACGATTATTTCAATAATCGATAATTCTCGATTGATCCAATGTACTGTTTCAGCCATAAAATTAGTGAATTCCTACAAGATATTGCATGTTTAAATAGCACAGAAGATCCAATGTGCATCAAAAAGTGTCACTAAATAAATAAGCATAAAGTTACTTGTCATTACTTATAAAAGACATATTTTGAACACCCTGCTACTTGTCTTTAATTCTGAAAAGGCCACTTTCTGCATCATGAACTGTTGGTGGAATAATAACGTTATTAAAAGCAAATTTCACTCAGGTGTATACTAAACATTAAAGGCAAGTTGTTCAATGGAAAGTCAAACTTTTTTCTAGATGGCTATTCACAATCTATGAATCTGATCATTAACCGAGGGTTAAATATACCCACTAAATGGCAACTTCTAAAACATTTTAGATTTCTTAAGTTCCAACCAGTAGATTAACCTGATAGCTTCATAAAGTCATTTTTTGCTCTCACGGATGAAATCGGTTACTTAAACAAAGAAATCTTAAGAGCAATTTGCTAACATACCTGATCACATCTACGAAACACAATGTAGACAATCGGTAATTAGGTCCATAGCTTATACTTTAATCACAGCGATCACCAATAAAATGCCAAATATAAAGTGATATATTTAAAACGTAAACTGATGTGGACGAGAAAAACAACAGCTGTGGGGCCTGCAAACAGAGCCTGTAACTACTATGACTATGGACAAAGGATACCGAGTTAGCCAACAACCAAGTCTACCGAAAGATGGCAATTCACGCTAGATTTTACTAACATTAACATGACTTATTTGTTCAGAATGTACTTATTCACATCCAAGAGCATGACATTTTGGGTTTTGTTTCAAATGAACTTTTGTGTATGATACATTAACCGATAGGCTAGCTGACTGTTAGCAAAGCAGGCTATGGGAGGCTAGTTGGCTAGCTTAGCTCAGAAGTAAACGTCGTTTGCTCACAAAAATCAATTCCACAATATTCAGCGCTAGTTTGTTTAGCTATAGCGTAGTTATTATTCACAATACTACCTTCTATTTTGACCCCATACTTTGTAGAGAAATTTAGGTGGAGTATTTACATTTCAAGAAAACGATAGTTAGCTAACGAACCGTGGACTGCCGTTTGACTTGCAGGGGTATTATGTAACGCTAGCATTTTTGCTAACAAACAAACATTTCATTTAAATGCGTTTGCGTAAATAGGGGGCCGTTTTTTTAATATGTCAGTTCAACTTCAAAGGTTCATATTGATGATGTGCGTTGTTTTCATCTAATAGGGGCTGACTCGCAGGCGTATTGTTAAAAGAAACACCAAGTGCTAGCAGGCTAGTGAACAAATGCTAGCAACTCCTCCCTATAGTTGGTTTCTAAATATCTTTTTGTCAGCGACTAACCAGCGCTATTGGTCATTAACATCACTTAAACTAATAACATAGCAAAGGATATTAGTTTCCGTGTTGATAGTAAAATTATATTAATAGTTATTACTCACCTATTCCAAATTACTTGGAAGTATTTCATCCTTCTTTACAAAACTGTTGCGATATTTTCCTGCCATGTCGACTGTGCAGCTTCACTGCTGCCGAGGATTCGGGGAGGTGTCACAACAGTATGGCTAGCCGGTTAGAGCTAGCTGGGCCTGGACGTGTTACGTGCGTGTGCGTGTGCGCGCGTATTTCCATGTGTAAATAGCGCCCTCTGTTGACATAAAACAGCTTGTACAACACAAAACGGAGACGCCTGCCCAAAACCAAGGGGCAGAGTAACATTTAACATTACTTACAGTAGTACAGTCTTAAATTAAAGTACTATAAGGAATTCATAAACTAAAAAATTTATTGACAAATAGAGGTGAAGGGAGGTGAAGTATAAAAGATTTTCATGGATGTGAGAAAGGGTAAGAGAAGATTAAATTCTGAATCCATCCACCCATCTTCTCCCACTTCATCCCTCAGGGTCGCAGTGGGGCTGGTGCCTATCTTCAGCAGCCTATGGGCAAAAGGTAGGGTAGACCCTGGATAGGTCACAAGTCTATAACAGGGCAACACATAGACACACAATTATAAATACTAACATATACCAGTTAATCTGGCAGTCATGTTTTTAGACTATGGGAGGAAGCTGGAGTACCTGGGGAGAACCCACAAATGCACAGGAAGAATTTGGAAACCTCATACATAAGGATGTTAGGCCAGGAATCAATCCAAGGACCTTCTTGCTGTAAGGAAACAGAGCTAAAAAGTGTGCCACGGTGCAGCCAAGTGAAGGTACACTAGATTTTACTAAAGCCTTTGTTAATAAAATATCTGCAGTAATCATTGGTGTCTAAGACGAGCTGGATATCAGTCACATCTGAGTATCCACTAAATCCATCTTGGGTATAACGCTTTGATTGTTTGCGAGGTCAGATCCTTTTAACATGCTTGACATCACAGCAGTGCAACAGTGAAGGAACTTCCGACCCGAAGTAAATTCAAGCAAATAGGCTACGGACTTCTGAGGTGTCAGTTGCTCATAAAACAATGTTATAGCCATTTAGGGTCAAATAAAGGTATATATTTTCTTTTTTATTTATTGTCCCACATGCCACTCTTTGTGGTGTGCTCATCTAACACCAATGTCTCTGCTTTTGCTAAACATGCGTAATGCTATAGTTTATGTATCCAGTTAGCTTTGGGTTTTGTTTCTTTGCTCTCAGTGTATTCTTTTAAAATCAATAATAGTTGCAAAAAAAACAGTCTTACAATTTTGTGAGAAAAAGAGGAAGGCGTTAGAAAACTGATGAGTCCAGAGTGTATTTGCTCTAGACTCACATCATGTCACTCAAAAAGCCACTTGGCCATATCTTACCCAAATTTCTGGAAAACTCATCCACAATACCTTTAATCATTTATGGATCTGCATATGTATTACTGTAGACATAAGTTAAAACGGTTTAGTTGTAATTAATTAATGATTACAAATAAGACTCATAGATGACTTACAGAGACACATACCTTAACTTTCCTCGCCTATGAAACACAAACCTAATTCTGAGAAGAGCATGAATTTTGTATTTGCAATCTTTAATGTTTGTTTATTGATGTGAAAATCTCATTTCTGTATTTTTGTTGTCATTTTATGGTCTGTACATTAACAATGAAAATGTCAAATTCATTAGGATATTCTAATTGAGAGCATTACTCCAACACCATCTGTTTTAGAGGGGAACTGATTGTACTGGAGTTGGTGAATTATGTCAGTAGGAATTAGAAATCACCTCATGCAGACCGTCCCTGGCCCCCCATCTAGCAACACCCCTGAGTCCCGTTGCCTCAGATTTAAGGGAGTTCATTGTAAACTGGCTTCTTCACACTGAGGAGCAAACCACTGTCACAATGGAGTTCAAGGGCTAAAAAAAGAGAAAAGAAAACCATGCAAAAAGCAAAAATGAGATCACACTGGCCTCTCCAAAACTATGCCTTTAGATCACCAAGAACATGATCAGTGAAAAAGGGCAGTGCTGGTGGAGTTCATCACTTGCCAGGAGTGGGTTTGATTTTGTGCCGAGGATGCAGACCCAAGTCTGGTTTTGGACATACAACGATAAGTAGTATCGTTGTATAAGTACCCCCCATGAAATATTTTATTAAATATGATAATTGAATTTACATGATTCATTCAGATTAAGGGGTTAATTGGGAGATATGAGCTGTAAATCTATCATACCTGTATCTTGCCACTACTGACTAGCTTAATCACCCATTTCATTCACCTGTCCTACTCTGCCCGGTTTCTCATCACTGCCCATTATATCCACCTGTGCCAGCTTCTATTTAAACCACTTGCTCCCAGTTGTCAAGGACAGATTGCTCTTGAGTCTTTGGTCAATAATTATTGTAGTGTTACTAATTGTGTTCTGATTGCCTGATCTGATTGCCGGATTGCCTGACATGTCTTTGGATTCTGTTGGATTCTGTTGTGGACTGTACCTGGATTTGCCTCTTGACTTTGCCCTCTGGATTGCCCTGCTTTCCTCCGTCATCTGCTCAGATCTGATCACCTGTCAGCTCTGTTACCTTCAAGGCCTCGACATCTAGAACTCTCTGTGCAACCGCTGCGTCTTGTCATGTGGCAGGCTGCTATCAACCATTGTTCTTTGGGCACGGGCTGTACTCTAAACCAGGTTAGTAACTCACATGTTCAGATCATCCTCCGTCAGTTTTTCAGGGTCACTTACCTGTGTTTCCTCTCTCTTGAGTTATCTGCCTCAAACGCCCTAGGCACTGCAACTCTGTTTTGTCGTTGCTTTAATAAACGCTTTTGAAGTCATCCCACTGTCTGTCTTTCCTGAATACTGGGTTTGTTACAGAATCACTCGTAAAGAGAAACAACCCATCTTTTGGCTTCTTCTCCAATTAAAAGTATCCTTTCCGTCAATTTAGACAACCATTTTCAGTGGTTTGCAGCTATTCCCTTATCTTTCCACTTTCAGAAGATATTCACATCTTCCGAGATATTTTATTACCTAAACAGTATTTTCTTTCTACAACTTTATCTGGAGTGTTCATTGGTCATTACAACACTTATTTGTTAACTGTTTATTAACAAACCTCTAAAGCTTTAAAAAAATTTTTTCCTGCTGAGATTGAATTACATATTCAAAGGATTAAAAAAAGTTGACTTCAAAGGCAACACATTGGTGAGGTGTGCAGGAGGGGATAGGCAACATGTGAAGTTAGGATTACATAAGTGATCAGCTCTGAGTCCCTTTCCAGTTTGCAGTTGTGATGGATATGTTAACAGATGGACTCAGACAGGAGACCCTATGGACTTTGTTCTTTTCAGAGTAGACTGTCATTTGTTGTTAGTGTGGGAGGGGTAAAAGACAGTCCAAAATACTTGAGGTGCACTCCGGAGAGAAGATGAAAGAAAATGAGTAGAAGAAAAACAGAAAACATGTGGAGGAATAGGAGGAAGACACGCAAAGACCGGCGGGGCTCCAAGGATAGTGCTATTAAACATTGATGAGTCAAAGTTCCCAGGCTCAACCATCCAAAGCTATGGACAGAGGAGAAGAAGAGAGTGAACACAGGGTGGAGTGGATAGACACACATGTCAGGGATACATTATGACAGAAAAATGGCTGCAAGAGTTAAATGTTAGGTTTACACAGTGGTAAGATCTGCTATAATTAATTTTTAAACAAGATAGCAACAAACACAGCCACTTATGGCAGAGTTAGAAGTGATAAAGCTGGAGATGTTCAATTTTTTATCAGGAGTGACCCAAAAAAGACAGGATTAGGCATGAACACATCAGAGGGACAGCTTGAGTTGAAAGATTCAAAGAGAAAGTTAGAGACAAGGGGATGGCTTAGACATGTGCACAGAAGGGAGAGTTGACATACTGAAAAATGAATGTTGAATTTTGAGCTGCAAGTGAGGATGAATGGAGGAAGAATGCAACAAAGGTTTATGAATGAAGTGAAGTGATGTACTCAGAGGGTTGGTATGGCTGAAGGGGAAAGACTGAGTGAGATGATGACAAATAAGAACAACTTCTAAAGGGAGAAACATAATAAACAACAATAAAGTGATAACTTTATTTAATAAATTAAAGTACACCAAAGAGGTGAAATGCCAGTTAGAGTTCAGAATCTCAAAAAACTGTTAAGAGTGCAATTTTTAGGCTTTTAAAAGTCTGTGATTTCATTTTTAAACATCACCCTTGCTTCCTTTATATTCTTTTCCAGTATAAACTTTGGTGGATTATATTCTCTTTGTTTTACTCTTGTGTAAAGGAGCCCTTCTGAAACTGTTTAGGGTTCCAGTTACTGATTTTCCTTGAACGATTTGATCACAGTCCTGATGTCTGGCCTACTGATATTTAGAGATTGATGAGACAAAATGGAAATCCATTCTGATCTACTCTGATTCTGATCTCCCACTGATCTGCAAGCACCCCCATATTTCTGAACCCTGTTTTGGGAAACAGTTTTTGGGTCCAGCCTTTTTTTCTGCTTTATTCAACCACTTCCAGTGACTGCTCTCTCAGGATTATTACCTCACACCTTACTTTTGCATATTTTGTAGAATTGTTATCACTGTTGGTTAGGTGTATTGTTTTGGTAATGTGGAAGATCCACTGCTTTCTGCTTGTTTTAGGGGAGAGGTTTTCTAAAATCTGCTCGGTCATGCAGTGCAAAGTTGGCTTCATTAAACTGTAGGCCAACTCCTTTATCTTTTCTTTCGGTGGAAATTAGATTTTTAGTTTTCCATATGTGACATTATATTTGCACAAATTTCTTTATGTAAAATGCAAATTTGTTTTATAAAGGAATGACAATTTGGTTGTTTCCAAAGTTCTACCCCAGGGGGATCAGTGGCCCATTTCAAGAGAAACAAGAGATAGATAGATAGATAGATAGATAGATAGATAGATAGATAGATAGATAGATAGATAGATGATAGATAGATAGATAGATAGATAGATAGATAGATAGATAGATAGATAGATAGATAGATAGATAGATGGATGGATGGATGGATGGATGGATGGATGGATGGATGGATGGATGGATGGATGGATGGATGGATGGATGGATGGATGGATAGATAGATAGATAGATAGATAGATAGATAGATAAAAAAAAATTTATTTATATATTTTACAAAACTCCTGTAAGATACTTCACAGGTGTGAGATCATAAAAAAAAGATAAAATCCTTAATTGTTCCTGATGGTAATTATTTAATTGTTTTCCATATCAGCTCAGTTTGGGATTGGGATCAAATGAGACAGAGATGGATAAACTGTTTGAACTAGCACAAATTAGGTACCTCTTGTTTAAAGGAAACCAAATCTCACTTCTATTGCTGCACACCTGGAAGCGAATAATTGACAGAAGATTTTTTTTCTCGACTTTTCTTCTTTTCACTGGAGCAGAGTACTATTGCATCGTGGGAATAATAAGTGCACCGCGCTTACGCAACAGAGAGCGTCACTCGGCAGAAGGGATTGCGGGGCAAGGACGAAATTAAAGCGAGCATTTTTGAATTCCATTTTTGTTAATCCCACTGATTTTCTGAAGGGATTAGCGGACCGAGTAAGATAGAGGCACCATTTGGCTCGCCTGGCTCTGAGCTGATCGGGAGCTGCAGACATTAAGTGTTTATAGAGACGCGCCGTGAAATCTTGATGTCAGTTTCAATTTTTATTTTAATTTTTTGATCTCTCTGGACACATTCTGGCCTCTTCCATCTTAATTTTTTGTTGCTTTTCTTAACACTTGGTCCAGGAGCGATGGAATTACCGCCAGCGCGCTTTTGACGCACGTTCTGTTGGGATGCACATGAATCTGGGATGTTGCGCAAGAATATATAACTTCCTGCGGGCGATTTCATATGACAGAACTGAATATGCATTTCAACATTTCCATTTTGAGCTAAATATCCAGGTACTTTTTATCTGTATGAATTTTTTTTTACAGTTTATCTAAATTACATAATTAATGAGAATCAGAATGTGTTTTTTTAATACTTGTACAAAGCACAAGTAGTACAAAGTACAAAGCTGAGTTTGTTAAATATATGTGTAATGAGATATAATGATACCATAAAGGGCATTATAATGAGTCACAAATCTCAAATACTTCATTTCTAAAACACGATTGTTCAAGCTTTGAAAGTTAAGTGGGTTTTCTTTTCTTGTTTTGAATGATTCCCACAAAATGTAAACTTATTCTGTGTTTATTGGCAGCCCTTTTCAACAGAACAGAATAAAACATATTATAGTGCTTAGGCATGTAAGGTCTCAATGGCAGGCAGCAGTTGCTTATTCTCATTCTAAAGGATTATCCTTTGCCCTGCAAAGTAATCACTGGATAATGCAACGTGACAGCATCCACAATAAAGATCTCCTCCCATGAGAGAGACAAACCAGCAATGTAGAATGTTATTAGGTCTCCATTATTATTATTTATTTATTTTTTGAGTTAGTTTACACATTTCTGCTGTTTTTGTTTTGCTTTGTTTCCTTCAGGATATAGGTGTAGCCCACTTTTTGTGAATCACCGATCCAATGGAGGAGGAGAAATCAGAAGGTTACATTCTTTCTAAATCCACTTGTCCTGTACCCACTGGGCTTCCCATCAACTGGGGACTCATAACCGGCCCTGTTCCAGAGCCTGTTTTCCCAGCATCTTCACTGAGGACCTCACTGCCCCTTCCTCAAAGTTCAGCCTCACATGCACTACAGACCAAAGTAAAATCCCTGACTCAGAGAAGAACAAGAGGCAGGGAGAGGGAGAAGGACCGAGAGAAGCTGGACACAGGTGAGGTGCGCATGGGTTGTCCGCCTGGGCAGATTTCATCTGATGGGCTTCTCAGACAGAGGCAGAGAGCCAAAGGCCAGCTGTTTGTGCCGTCCTCCTCCTGGCGATCAACTGCAGCTAAAGATTTCAGTAGCAGCGATGAAGATGAGGAGGTAGAAGTTCAGGTCAGACTGGAAATTCACAGTCCACCAGTGGACCTCCAAACAGAGCAGGAAACAGAAGAAAACGAGGAGAAGAACTCAGAACAAGATGAAGGCCGGGGCAGCTCATGTGGGCTTGGGGAGGGCACCAGTATCGAAAGTCTTCTCTCAGATAACTCAAGTAGTGGCAAGGACGAGCCATCCCCTGCACCTCATCTGCCTGTCCTCTCCTCCTCCAATTCTAACACATCTACTTCCCTTTCTCCTACATGTTTAGCCAGACACTGGGCACCTCCAAAGGGCTTCTGGAGAGAAGCGCGCCCGGAAACTTTGCTTCTCAATGGGGTTGGCCCTCACAACATACCGTCAACTTTACCTTTAAAGGACTACACCCAGATAGAGTCACCGGCGGAACCTCAGAGCAGGTCCAAACCACCTCAATCTGTCAACAGGAATGAGGCAGAAAGTGTTGTTGAGGACACTGAAGAGGCATCAGTTTTTAAACATTCAGATAGTGTGGAATTTTACCTGGACAGAGGGGAAAAAAGTGAAGCAGATGGGGCTGATTCGACAAAACAGCTGTGCAGTTCGGACAGCTGGGAAAACATGTCTTCTCAAAGTGGAGTGCTGCATGCCGATCTGAAGCTTAGGGTGAAGGAGAGGGCCTACGCAAAGCTGAGGGAAAGACAACAAAACTGCAGAGAGATGCAAGATCGCCGTGGAGGAGAAAGCGTTGACTATTATGGGGATATAACATACAGAGTTGATTATAAAGGTAAGTGTCTTAATGGGAAGCAGTTTTATTTGAAGAAAATACTTAAAGTAACTGATCTCCTCCATGGTTCACTCTTCTATCTGCTCTATAGTGTACTGTTTATGAGACATAGCTGTGATGACTTTAAACTCCGTTTCTCTTGTTATATTTCAGTTCAATTCAATTCAAAAACTTTTTACCAAAGGGAATTTATATCTTGTAGTACTTAAATGTTAGTAGACACAAAAAGATCTTCTCTAGCGAAGGTTCAATTCTTTTAGCTGCTTTGAAAAAAGGAAATAATCATAATGAAATAGTTGAAAATGATTGATCTCACAATGGGAACATTCATTTCTGCATCTTAACCCATCCCCTTGGGGAGCAGTGGGCCCAGAGTGCAGGCTGTGAGGATCAAACCGGGTACTTGCAAGCTTCTCAGTGCACAAGCGCACTGCTCTAACCTCTAGGCCACCACTCCCCCCACTTATTATATGTATGCATATTTGAAAGCAAAATAAATACAAAATGTATCACTGAATTATATATATATATTTCACTGTTATCACAAAAATCATTATACATGCCAAATAAATAAAAATATATTTTCTGCTTTGGGACCCTCTATTGCATGCTTAAAAAAGTCTTATATGCCCTATCATCATAACTGGGGAATGTGTGGAGTTTACTTAATGCTACAAGAGGTTTTACCGAGACTGATTAGGCTTTTAGAACAACAAACATTCTCGGTGTATCAGGAAAAAAAGGATGAATATTAAGTAAAGCGTCCCACGCTGACTTCCAAGCACAATGGACCTTTAAAGCATTCAGGCAGGGGGGCTGATTCACCACTAAGGACTTGAAACACCAGGAATCCTTGATGGCCATTTCAGTTCCCAAATCTAAACTCTTGGTAAATCCTTGAGACAAATTTAAGTCTAGAGAGCTTAGCAGAGAGTCTCTACAATGTAAAGAGATTACATCAAAGGGGACTAGCAATAGATCCCTGCCTCTGTATCCTCATCTATTGAAATATTAGAGTAGAAGACTAGTGGGGGAGTTGCGGCCTAGTGGTTAGGGCATAGAGCTTAGATTCCTGAGGTTGTGAGTTTGAAACCCCCTCCCACAGACTGCCTCTGTGGGTCTCTAAGCAAGACCCTCAACTCCCGATTGCCCCATGATGGTAGCCCACTGCTCCCCAAGGGGATGGATTAAATGCAGAGGTAAATTTCTACAATGTGAGATCAATAAAGTTCAATAATTATTATTAAGTCTAAGAGGATCCCTACTGGTAAAAGGGCTATTTTATTTTTTTGATTCAAAGTAAAAAAAAAAAAAAAAAAAAATTCTGAAACAGTTTACCAACCTTTACCTATGATGGGAATTAGTATGGGGCTATTTTACAAACTTATCAATGGTTTAGCATCTTACATCTAAAATCAGTTTGTCCACATTGATCACCATTCAGCTGTTGCAGTAATTCAAAGCAGCATTCAGAGGCAGCTGCATGTCAGCTCAGGATGTTATGTTGAAATGCGATATGTAACCTGGCTGGTTCCCAGCTTTGAACAGATGTCAGATGTGCAGATGTGCATGAGGCTGTTGCTATTATTAGCAGCCAGCCCAGTGGGGGAAGTGTCCCTGTGTTGGTATCTCAGTTTGAGCCATACTGGATGCCTTTGTATGCTTAAGGATCAGAGATTGTGTACTATCCCATTATGTTTATATTTTAAATGGACTGCTTATATCTAAAATTCAATGAAAAACATAAAAAATGCATATTTATGAAAATGTACTCCTTTTTTAGCAGCAGGCTTTAGGTGTTTTCTTATAACCTTGTATTTAAATTTGTTTAGACCTTTGTGATCTTGAATTAATTCATGACATTCAATATTTAAAGGAGATAGATAATAAAAAATAGATTAATTCAATGTCCAAATGACCCCACTAGATTTAAACATAGATGACTGCTTTCATGTTGAATGTGGCCTCAAGTAAAAGCTACATGAACCTTAATTAGCACCTTATGCTGTAGAATGCTGGAGAAATAAAAAGAGCACAAAAGACAGTGTTTTTGTTGAAAATAAAGCTGTAATTTGACGTGACTTTCCTAGAAGGGTATATTTTAATTGCATCTTATTTCCATCACACATCTGCTCAGATATGTTCTCTCTCTTCTTGTTTTTTGCCAGTATCAGGGAACCACGATGTTCTAGAAAGCACAGACACTGAACTTCTTGCTCAGGAACTGGAACCATATTTGAGGTAAGTTGTAAGAAATACTGGATTGATACTGATTGTATGTGGAGAAAAAACAACCCATAATATATTCCTCTTAATATCCAATGCTTTGCTTAATAGGAAAATTGGGTTTCTTGCAATTTGGAAGTTTTTTTTCAGCTTTCTTAGTCCCTTGATGCCAGGGTACTTATCAGTCTGTTGGTGTTAAGTCAAATTAGGTTAATGGGGTTACTGACAAACTATAGTGATGTGTAAAAAGTCTATATAGTCAATGACGTTTTAACATGAAAAAACAGAGAAACACAAACAGTCATTGTTTATAAATTTAACTGGTCAAAGGGTGTAGTATTTCTGTGTTTTATGTTTTAGGAAGTTTAATTGAAGGAAAGGGTGTGGTAGTAAAGGTGATGCCATCAACAGGAATAGCGGCTTGTCAGCAGTTTAGAAGTGAGCCGAAACATGTCAACTGTGGTTAGTTCTTCAGGAGCCGCAACGCACAGACATTTGGAGGACTAAACAGTTATTCCTCACCTTTAGCCATGTTTGAGCCAGAAAGGACATTTCCCAAATATCCCATTCGGATTAAAAGAAACTCCCTTGAAAATCAAGGACCCAAATTCTTCCAGGAGATACTAGGGAGTCACAGAATCAAAATTTCTTGAGGTCAAGTGTGAGATTTCCAGTGTTATGAAGTCAAAATGTTCACCAGGAAACTGTCGCGCACCCCATGCCTCTTTCTGCTGACAAACTCAGGGTTAAAGGACCACGGCCCTGATGTGATTTACAACCAGCAAACTCACCTGCAAAAGCAAGAAGAATATGAGAGACCAAATGATTCAGACAAACTGAAAACTGCAATTAAAATTACTTCGGCCACAAGCTGATCAACTCCATACCACACAGCTCTGATTATCCTTACGAAAAGTAGCTCAAAACATCGACAAACCTTTCAGAAGGCCTCTCATTTCTCAAGTAAAAAAACAGCAACACCTGAATAATGATTAAATCTAGAAATATCCTTTAAATATATTCCTCCATGTGAAATCAATATAACAGAACAGCTTTGTTTTTGGGACTGAATTACTAAATTAAATAAACTAATGATATTCTAATAACTTTTAATCATAAAGCAGAGGGCAGGCTGCTGATTTTCTGGGTTACTAATTGATAAGATGAAACAAGTTTACAAACTGTAATCTAATAAAACACAGCGAGTTCTCATCTTGACACTCAGGAGAGAATGAATCACACTCTGGACGTTCCAATGATAATCCACGTGGCATGGAGTATCATGCTATCTTTATCACTGGGCAAGGGGATAAAGGCATACAGACAACGAGTTACAATGCAGAGCAGCTTAGCTGATTGTTAGGATAGATGGACAGATAACGTTTTCTTTTGCTGCTCATGGTTGTGGCCACGCCATTGCATAAGACAGTGAAAGCCCTTTGGGAAACTCCTCCAACTCCCATTGTCATTGTGACACAGCACACACAAGTGAACACTGGACACCATGAAATTGCATTTATGCCTCACCCGTGCAAGGGGGCAGCCCTCAATGACGCCCCAAGGGAGCAGTGTGGCGGGACGGTACCATGCTCAGGGTACCTCAGTCATGGAGGAGGATGGGGGAGAGCGCTGGTTAATTACTCCCCCCACCAACCTGGCGGGTCGGGAGTCGAACCGGTAACCTTTGGGATCCAAGTCTGACACCCTAACCGCTCACCCACGACTGCCCTAAGACAGCTTAGGAAGATTCAGCTTCACTCAATGTTAAGTTAATCTTTGTAAAGTATGATGCTGGAAATGTATCAACACAGGCCAAGCTTTGAACATTTCAATACTTCCTCAGGTATTAGCGGCATTCAAAGAAATGCTGGTTATTTAAGCTGTTTACTCTTAAATCTACCATTTCCTTACTGTTTAAATCACACACACAGTATCTTCTGGTTGTAATCTCTGTTTTCGTTGTCATTATCAGGTCACTTCTGGTAATAAGCGATGAGCTACCTCTAAGCCCAAGGCATGAGCAAGCCAAGCGTCTTCTGGAGCGAGCCAGGCTCAAGGCTCGCTCCAACCACTTCAAAGACAGCCGTCCCCGCCGCTCTCAGTCTGATCAGAGATCATCAGTGTAAGTAAATGTTAGTTTGCGTTTATTTTTCTCTCAGTATTCGCATCTCCTTGTTATCCATCGAACTGCTCTTTGCATCGTTTAGTGAGTTATATAACTGTAAGCTTTAAAACCTAACCATGCTCTGTAATTATAAGGCTAAAACGAACAATGCTGTGAAAATATTTGCTTTTGTTCCGCTTATGTAACTGTGAGCATCACAAAGCTTCAATTGAAGAAAGAAGCATTTGGTCAATATGGGATTATGAGTGATTACTTTAATACATTCATAATAATGGGCAGCAATGTTTGAGGCAGATCATTACTTCTACACTGGAAGTTTGAAATCCATGCTCATGCTGTAAAATGAGATAGGACATTATTCTGAATTAGTCCTGGGTCTGTTTTTGGTCTGATTATGAAAACTATAAATAACTTTCTCTATGTTGTTGCTTTCTACTTTAATGTGGCTGAACATTCGAAGTTTTTGATGAGGCCATGATGGTGAAGGAGGACCCAGTCGCAGAACACAAAAGTTCTTTAATGAGGATCTCAGAATAAACTTAAAAAGAGCACAGAAACCAGGCATGAAGATATGAAGAAAACAAAAAGAAGATTCCAGTGAGCCTCTATGAAGACCCAACTGCTTAAATACAGGGCTATTAAAAGGGAAAATGCAAGTAAAACAAGTGAGAGCAATCTGGTGAAAAATGGAAACATCTGCTGAGGATCAAGTTAATATTGAACTGAGGGAGAGGCGAAATAAAAAACAGAGGAGCAGTGGAAAGGAAGGAGTAGATCTAATATAGTGTAAAACAAGGTCATCATAAAAAATAAACACAAACCAGCAGTAGAAAAACAATAAGGAAGAAACATAGTGACTTCCTCATAAAGAAAAAAAAATCTTTGGATTTTTGGAACACCCTAAATGACTAACTATCATAATAAGACCAAAATAAACCAAATAAACGACAAAGAAACTACTGAATATTCCTAAAATAAGAAACAGAAGCAAAAAGATTGTGAAAAATGATGACACACAAAAAAACTGCTCATTCTTTTTGTACAAGAATAGAAATATCTATACTAGTTCTCCTCTACACAAACTAAGTTACACATGGACTCCAATCAGGGGATTGCAAATGCATACATACAACTTGAAGCTTTTCTCATTTTGTGATGCTTTCTTTAATGGGATATATGTGGATACTTTTATTTTTGTTATAAATAAAAGGTTGAGAGGCATTTCTAATCACCCCTTTAGAAAGCTAGCGGGCCATTTCACAAAGCAGGTTTAACAAATTGACAAAAATCCTCAACTCTGGATACGCCCACTCAGAGTTAAACACGTGCGTAACAAGTCTGAAAAGCCCTTATCAGTGGAGCATCAATCCGAAGAGTCACCATGACAACAGGTAACAGGAAGTTAATGCAGTTCATTCTTTAATTGGATCATGTCTAAAGGACATGCTATGCTTGTGTTTTTAATGCCTAATGTGTCTAATGAACACATGGAAGTTTAAACAGAGCCAATGTTCTGAGCTAATTATGCAATAGGTTCAGTTCAAGAACAAGGTTAAGCATCTTTCTCTGTTGCCCACAGTAACACGGACATCCTTCCCTCAATTAACCTAAACTCACACAAATTGTTTAATCTTCCACTTCTGGCATGGATCCTTCTGCTTCTATGCATTTGTTCTCATTCAAATCAGAAGATGGTGCTGTTCCCTTCTCCTTTCAGTCAAGTAAAGAAGCAATTGGAGAAATTGCTTTTTACTCTGTATGACTTCCAGTACCAGACAGAGTTCTGTCATGTGCAGAAATACTCAGATGACTCTGCTGTCATTGGGTCCATCAGAGGTGGATAAGAAGCTGAGTACATGGAGCTATTGAAGAGCTTTGTGTCATGATGTAGAAAGAACTATCTGATCCTTATTGTGAGCAAAACAAAGGATATAGTATGACTGTAGATTACCTTGGTGTTTACCTGGACAACAAAACGGACTTGAGAAGCAACTGTTAAGCCGTCAACAAGAATGGAAAGAACAGACTGTACTTCCTAAGGGAGCTTAAGTCTTTCAACCTTATTAGCAAGATGCTACACATCTTCTATGAATCTGTTGTAGAGGTCGATCTCTCCTGCCATCATCTGCTGGGGTAACAGCATCAGAGCAAATTATACAACAAAAAAACCCTCAGCAAGGTGATAAAGAAGACTGGCTCCATTCTACTTCTCTAGAACATCTGAGGAGGATTTCAAAAAAACACAACTTTCATAAAATTAAGAGACTATCTTCTTCAGAAGACTGTTAACCTCCAACAGCGTGTTTTTAGTTAAAGGCTTGTCCAGATCCGGTCTGTGCAAGACAGACTGCTACCTGCAGCTATCCACATCCAGCCCTATAACCAGCATTGAGAACACTGAGGTCATGTCCTCGGTATTTCCCCATTTTATCTTTTATTGTAATTATTTATTTTTCTTAATTCAGCGAAATGTCAAACTATATGATGACAATTGTTCTGACTTTGGTGTAAAGATCAGCATACATTCTCATTTGTTTGTCCTCATCTACAACAATTTGTTGAATTAAATTATAGTAAATCTGTGGTGTCTTATTTCTTCAAAATGACCTTCAGGGTGTTAATGTTTACTGTTAAGTTTGAAAAAAAAAAGATTGGACGTAGTAATATGATAACGCTTCTCTTTGGAAAATATCATTGTATCTCTTTACAATTGTACCGAAATGTTGCATAATTGTGAGTTATTCAAATTGTGCTACTGTAAAGCCTTGATTTATATTGCCTGCCGAATGTTTTACTGAGATATCAATAGAAATCCCCCCCAAAAAGCTTTTGTAATTTTGTCCACAAGTACTTTTGAATTTACAGTTTTGGCCCTTTGGATAAAAGTTTTGTCAGACATTGTTACAAGACATCCACCGTTAATCTTAAAAGAAGAAAACTGTTTGGTGTCACAAAAAAATATGGGTGAGATTCAGATTCCAGAAGGACCTTTACCCTAAATACGTAACTAGCATCGCGATAAAATAGCTTAGCTCAAAGCATATTAGTATTAAAAGCCCATTAAGATCTGAAAGAGTGTAAAGACAATTAATCCTTTTGGTTTCACTTTCATATCATGATTACTAACTACTCTAAGGAACTGTGGTTTGTTTTCTGATGTTTAATACAAATTCTTCTTAGCTACATTTTTTTTCTATTGGTAGTTTTCTATTTCATCCGAAGCCTAAAAAATTGACTTTGTTTCTGGTGTATTTCTTTCACTTTCTGTTGTAATCAAGTTACTATTATTATAGAGAACTGCCAGGCACAGATGCATATTGATGGCTTTAAAATGTTATTGATAGTTGCTTTTCTATTTTATACAGGAAACATCAGCAAGTAGAAACTCCCAGTCACACAACAGTGCATAGAGGTGTTCAAACTAAAGAGGAGCCTCCATCTCAGGCCTCGTCTGGTCCTCTTCTGGTTCCCACACAAAGAGACACATCTCCGGGTGAGCAAGCAGGTCGACCCAAACGGTATGGCTGTTCCCCCACACGTGTACGCTTCGAGGATGAATCTGAGAAAGAAGCTGAGTCCCGTTATTTGGACAGAATGAGACAACGCGGCAGACCTGGAATGCCCAAGTCCAGAACAAAAGACAATAATACAGACTCCAGCAGCAGTGGCTCGGAGAAGAGCAGAAGCAACAGAAGCATTTCTTTGCCACCTACTCAGAAACAAGAGGATCTTGTGACAACTGATGAAACAACTGTTATTAAAGAAATAATAGTACTGGTGAAAAAATGTGAAACATGTGGCTCCGTAGTCAGGGAACCTCAGCCGGTCTCCTCATCATCGGAGGTGCAAAACAGTGAGCCACAGCAAATCGTTGTCCCTGAGGACCCACGGGGGAAATCAACCCCTGTCTGTGCGCCATCAAACAAACCAGAAGTGAGCACTCGCCCTAAGGCTCCCCTTACTGTTACGTTTGCTGGAGCTTATGTGCTGGGAGAAAATAAGGAAAGCAATTCAGGATGGAAGTCTTCAGGCTTTGGAAAACTGAGGAGGCGGAGTAGAAAAGGCGAAAATCGTTTAGAGTCAGGCCACGGACCTTACGGCCCATCTTGGGCACAGAGACGAAACTCTAATCCACGGAATAGGGTTAACTTAAGCAGAGCTGTTACGTTTGCGCCTGGGAGCCCCGTTGCCTTAGAGCCACATTTGCTGGAGGCATCTGGGGGATTTAGAGAACCGCCCGCCCCTTCGCTACCTATAAAATCAGCTCTGAAGTCAAGCTCTAGAAATCGATCTGCAGTGAGTCAGTCAACAGTTCAGTTTCACGTGTCTCCAGTTCAGGGAGGAGATAGTGGGTCCCAATCTCTAGATTCCCCAGAGACAAGAAGGGAATCTCCTATTTCTTCAAACCAAGGGTCACCAGCAACAAGCAGCCCGGTATCCTGTATCAGGCCTTCCACTCTGAGATACTCCCCAGCTAGACCCCCAACTGATCTTCCATCTGCTGAGATCTGGGATGCAAATTCAGAGGTAGTAGGTAAGTGTACTGTATATGATTTTACTTTTGTAGGGCTGTGCAATTAAACAGTATCAATATATGTTATAATAGACACCTGATCAATGTCAATAGTGTTATGCAAGTTTACCAGAAAAGTTAAACTTGTAATTTGCTTATTGACCAGGATTTTTTGTCTCTTACGTAAAAAGTTGGACTCCTGGATCGGCTGTTAAAAATTCGGTCGCTTTCACCAATTTAGGGATTTAGACTATGGCTATCAGCATGGTTATTAATCACCAACCAAATAAATCTGTAACTGTGTATTTGGATACTGCTGAAAAAAGTGAATCCAGCCTGAGTGATAAATCGTTCAATCTATAAAAAAAACACAAAAGACCAAGGGTTAAAATACAACGGTACCTTTATTAGCTAATAATCACACAGTATTATTATATCTAAAAAATACTCAGACAGTAAAAACTACAGAAAATAAGCACAAATAAAAAGGTGAAAGGGGTTTAAAATTCCTTTTAAAGTCTCTGAGGAATGTTCAAGTTTTAAGGCTCAATGCATTGAAAGTGTCATTTAAGGTAGCAGCAGATGAATGTGAATAAACCCTGAAGCAGAAATGTTAAATGCATTCAAACAGTGCAGTTTCATTTGATTTTATGGTGAAAAATGAATAATGACTCAGGAATGCATTCAACTGTAATGAAGCTGAAAGGGAATGGGTTAACTTAGCTGACCCCAGGGTGTTTGGTCCAGGCAGGTCCAGCTGAAACAAAGGAAAGGTTAGAGCTCACGATGTGGCCTCTACAATGTGACCCGTAGCCAGTCCACTGTCTTCAGACCCACGTTGCTCATTTAGTGGGTTCTAGAAGCATTAGCATTCAGTTAAAACTCTCATAACCATCAGCAGTTGAATCAGAAAACTTATTTCAAATAAGACACAAACATAACTATCTATTCTACCTAGTTCATCAAAGCAGAGCACATCACAGATTAGATGGAGAGAGGAAAGGATGGATGTTACCGTTTTGACTCACTGGAATGGAAGAGACTATCTCCCTCGGTTCAGTTGTTTTTCAGGCCCCGTCTTTGGTCCAGTCCGTTCATCCAATAGCAACTCTTAAAGAGATTTGCATTAATCCGATGCAATAACAACAGACAACTTTGCAGGGGTTAATTTTACAGCTCACAGTAGCCTGGGATGTTTCCCTTTAGCAACTGTGGATAGCTGTCAGTGGCAGCGGCGACTGATGTAGCAGCGGCAGCGGCAGCGGCTCTCAGGCAGCGGCAGGACCAGTATGGCACTGGTCTGGCTTCTAACGGCTCCTCTGCAAACAATTGGGCAATTGGGCCCAGCTGTTGTTCCTTCAGCAGTTAGAACAGAACTGGATTAGCTCTCCTCTGCTGCAGCACAGGGATTCATGAATCACTTTATTCAACTCGGTTTAAATCACAGGAAAAGACGTACACTACGATCAGCTCCTTCTGAATTAAAGGAAAGGACGGTCACTACAATCAGCTCCTTCTGAGATGTAGGAAGAGTGGTCTGACTAGGTCCAGCAAGCACAGAGTTTTCCTAAGGACGATTCAGACGATTCTGAATGTCCGCCCTAACTCCTAAGTCCCTCAATCACTATATAGAGAGGGGACTATTTAGTGGACTTTACAATGAGCTCAGTTAACTTACTATTTGGATGGATGTTCACTACTCTTAGCTCCCCCGTTGGTCACATAACTCTGCCTCCCCGCACACAGTGCATGCACCATCTTTGTTACAGTATTTCTCACCGCTTCACTACCCAACAGCAGGCCGCGTCACAACAAATGATGCTTTGCATGATGTTTTGCACAGGAGAGCTCTTGCAAATCAATCTGTGATATATCTGCTTTTCTAGTGACCATGGATGATCACTACTTTTCAAGATGCATTGTGGTAAATTTTGATACCACTACTTTTTTATCTACTAGACGTTTGGACACTCATTTAAATGGCGTAACCACTATATAGTGATTAGGGTGGACGTTCGGACACAGTCTAGGGGTTTCATGGCCACAGGCCACTGGCAACAGGAAGTTGAATGGGAAACAGTTCCTTTCATAAACTCCACTGAAGGGGTGTGCCTTCACAGTGGAGTTGTTATGACTACATCACTGACATTTGATCTCAGCAATAGAAAATAGAATGCAACTTTCTATAATTTCACTCAACACATGGTGTCCTGGGGGATATACGAAAAGGAAAGGATTTAGCCTCTCAACCTCTCTTCGCCAAACTATGCAAGGTTTGTAATAGGGCTGAACTATTTTCATATTAACTAGGTTTACAATCAAAATGTACATTTCCTTTCTCCTATTCCTCATTTTGAAAAAGTAAATCAAAAAATGAATAAGAAATTATCGATATTACCATATCGAGCAGCCCTATGCTGAAGATACATTTCACCTGTAGTTCCTGTTTTTAATGTTAAGCAGTAAATCCTCCTCTTATGTAAGCAGATCAAACATATTAATCCCTCTATTGTCTTGTAAATTTACTCTATACTATATTATTCCAGTGACCTATTACTAAAATTATTGTCTGAATAACTTTTATGTTCAAAATTATAGTCATTAATACATTAGATGGGACAAAATATGCAGATTCTGACAGTTACTCATTGGTATACAGATCGGTGTAACCTGTTGCTGCTTTGTTTAAACAGGTCTGAATGGAGAAACTGGTCCTGGTTCAGAATTTCGAGCTCTGCGTGGCATGGGTATGTCTCGGGCTGAGGATCTAAGAGCTGAACTGCTGAGAGCTGAACATCTGAAAGCTGAGGCTTTGTGGGAAGAGAGCTCTGATGGTTCCAGGTTTGTATTTCATAACCCTACACACAAATATCCTCTCATCCTACAGCTGTCTCTGCAACAACTGTGCGTGCATCTGCTCCAGGAGGGAGATTAAAATAAAAAAAAATAAAAATCAGGGAAACAGTACTCTTGATATTACTGCTGACTTCTACATGTGACTACTACAACATGTTTGCCCTCTATTGGACAGAGAAAGCAATTACTGTTTTAGATATTACAGTTATTTAGAAAATACAATGGTAATCACCAATATAGATTTCAGCTGACGTGCATGTTGTATTTTATTGCATTTCTGCACAGAATTTGAAAAGCAGATTGCACTTATTATATGCAGCTTAAACACATCCAATCATAGATCAAGCAAAAAGACTGTCAAAGTGGCAAAAACAAGACGTACGAAGCATCCAAACTTACAAATAAGAATATATGAACTAAATGAATAAAGGTTAGTAGAAAAAGAGCTACCCCATCTAATGGGGTAAATGGAAAATGATTATTATTAAAATTATTAACATTCAGGTAAAAAAAGAAAAAAAAAAAAGAAAAAGACATTTTACAACAAACACTTCCAGAGTAGGTGAAAACAAATGCAAACAGGGATCAACATGACTTTTGGAATGAGATCCATTTATTTTTTTGCATATATAAGTTCTTCATTAGATTAGTTATGGATTTTTTAATGACATTAAAATATTTTGATTATGTTTAAAACATTATAAGGATGCTTTTATATGCATTCTTGAACCAAGTATACATTTCTGGTAGATCAGCTCCAATCTAAACAATAATTTTATAGTTGATCTAAATATGACAGAATAGAAAAATTAGCTGCAGTGGAAGCAAAAGGTAGTGAATTTAATGTATGTAATAGCTGAAACACCATAGTGGACAATTATGATGGAGCTTGTTGTAGATTTCTTTCCTTGTAACTGTAATATGGAGACATATGCTGAAATTTGACGTCTATATTTACCTCGCCAAGGAGCTTATCTTTTTAGTCGAGTTTGTGTCATTTTTTTTTTTGTCTGTCTGTACAGTATGACGCTAAACGTTATGAATGGATTTTAATGAAATTTTTACCAAAGGTGCACATCAGTCCACGGAATAATCCATTAAATTTAAGTGATAATCCACATCATAATCCAGATTCAGGAATGTTTTAGGATTCGTTAACATTGTTTGGCAGAACAAGAGGTTCCCCCCTAAACCAGAGAGTGGCAGCAGTGAATACTTATAGGTTCATCATCTGACTCAAAAAAAGTCTACAACTATTACACCGAAGACAAAAACCCAGGAAAGGTGAGCCATGCCTGGCTTGAAGTCTCATTCTGCTGATTAAGTGAGAAAGCAGAGTGAATGAAGGTGAGAACAGAACAGACACCAGAGGCTGCAGACACACGCCTTATTAATAAACTTATGAACGAATTTTAAGGAAATTGTTACCAAAGGGGCTCCTCAGTCCAAAGAGCAATCCTTTAGTATATTGTAATGATCTAGATTTTAGATCATGTGCCAGTTTTAGCTATAGGTGTAAGTAGTAATAGTAGTTATTTTTGTATTCACAGTGTGCAACATGTGATGTCACATTTTCTGATAACACAGGTCACTTCAGGGCTGTACATGTTTTTATCCTGAGTTCTAATGATGAACAAAATAAAATATTGATGTGGACTACACTTTGTTATGATCTTTGAGTATACAAAGCTATTTTCCTTGGAAGTAAATTTACATAAATACACTTAAACAGGGAAATCCTTTCTTCTGAATAAATGCAGAATCCTTGATATAACTCTTGGATCAAATCTGCCTTAGTATAAACTTCAGAATAAGGGTATAAAAACACATTTAGGACCTGTAATAAGCAAAATTACCCCTTAAGTATTAACACTTGTGTATCTCGATGTTTGTTACTGATTTAATATATTTTTGCTTTTACCTTTCATTTTCAGAAAACTTGATGGAAGGCCAAAGCTTTTCTTGCGTCGTTTCTTTTCTTCCATCGGACTAAACAGCGTCGGCAGACTTGTAAAAGGTGGTCGCTCCAGTAGCATGGAACAGCTCAGTCTTCCCACCGTCCAGCGGGCAAGTTCAGCCTCGCCAAGCCCCACACGGAGACCGCAGCCCACCATTCGTATACAGAGAACACCCTCGCTGCAAACCCTGAACACAGTGAGCAAGAGAGCCTTTTTATTTTACCTGAATCTAAATTGTAAGCCTTTTTTAAGCACTATAATAAATATCACAACCTGCTTATTTTAATGTCATGGTGTATTAAACCAAAATTAAGCAAACCCCTTCTTCAGTCAATCACAGCCTATTTTGGTATATGTATAAAAAAAAATGTATATGTGTTTTATGTTTTATAATTTGACATGAAGGCACTACCTCAGAAGCCCTTTTTTTCAACAAGAAATGAAAAACTTGATACATTTCCACTTGTTTGCCACTAGGTGCTCCCACTGGCCCAGCTGCGTAAAGCCTCCTCTGTGCAGAGTTTAGAGAGAAGAACAGATCGCTCAACAATTCTGGGAGAGGTCCAGATACCATATGGCTTGGCACCCAGGTGGGCCTAAAGAAAAGCGGAAAAGCCTGAGTCGGGCAGAGAAACATCTGTGTATGGTTCAAGTGATTCATTTCTAAACCATATTTATGTAATAATGTTTGTTTTTTGTTTTTGTTTTAGCCCTGATAGCCCCCAGATTGAGATTCACAGGGCCTTAAGTGTTGAAGATGTAGTTGTGGCCAGAATGGTTCATCCAATGGGCCGAGTTACCCAGGCTTTCCCTGATGGAACTATCCTGCTGGAGCTCATCAAACCCCCCAGTGGACCCTTTGGTTTCGTCATTTCAAGGGGAAAAGGTCGGCCAGACACAGGTAACATTTCTTTACTTTCTCATTAACTTTTTGAAAAAAAATTTATTCTAGTCTTTTGGACAGTTTAATGCCTCTGACCAGATAGAAAAGTACACAACCTTGATTCAAAAAAATAACCCATTCACGTGATTCTAAAACACTAAGACATGTATTAAATGCAGTTAAATCTGTTGGTCCGTGACAGTAGATGAAATTTAAGTAGCTCATCACAGGAGAGAGAACACAAGAACTTTCATTGTCTGCTACCAACAGGTGTATATGTCGAGAAAGTCGGTGACGGTGGTGTAGAGGGCCTACTGGGCGTTGGTGATGAAATCCTACAGGTTAATGGGGAGGCAGTGGCAGGACACAGTCTGGACCAGGTGACCCGCCTCATGACTCGGGAAAGCACTGCAACGCTCCGCATCTTGCCTGCCCGACGCAATCTGCGCTGAACTGGCTGGATAGACCTGGCAAACAGCCTATTCCCCCTGGAATCACAATCACCCACTGCTCATGCACTGCAAACCGGCTGGATCGTATTGTATATGTGAGACACAGTAGGTTTTGGTAATACTATGAATAGCCAACAAAGAGATCATTTCTTTTAGAGCAAACAAATTCAGCTGCACAGGGATCTTAGATGTTGTGATTACTGTGTATTGTGATATAGAATAGGAATTCAGACCTGGCACCTTTTTATGACTGAACTATGATAAATAGCTCAATTCAACGAATTGTTTTTCTTTTATAAGATGCCAGTTTACTACAAAAGTCACTCTTAAGGTACTTTGCAGGACTAGCACTTCCCCTTAAACATGCAGAAATATATAATGTACTCAATACAATCACATAGGCAGATTTAGATTTGACTGTGTGTATTTCACTTTGATCCTATTTGCAGCTATCCTCCCTTGAGAGCAAATATTCAATGTGTCACCTTGATTAAATTAAAACAAATTGAAATGAATTTAATTTATTTGAATGAACAAAAATGAGCACTTTTAAAAACAGTCATCCCCATGACCGTTTTTGACATTTTCTGGTATTACAACCACTAATTGCATTGTATTATGCTTTGAGATTGAAGAGTAATTGCTTTGGGAATGAAGATGGGAAAGAAAATATTGAATGGTTTCGACTTCACAACCTATTACAATAATAAATCTGGAAAGTTTTGTCTCCATATGTTTCTAACTTCCTTCAAATCAAATATTTGTACATGCATATTTCATTTTAGTTTCAGCTACAGATTATGAGACCATTAGGGTGTGTTCCTACTAGCTTATCTTATCAACGGTTTGGAAGGAGAGCATCTGTATTAATCATGACATAACTCTGCTTCAAAATACAATAACTTTACCCTTATGTGCTCAAACAAGGAATTCTTGCATCTGTTGGATCCATTGAAGCCTGTTGATTACTTTAACAGTTTCATGTCTCACCCTGCTAACCTGAAACAAGTGAGACAGTAACGATTCTTAATTAGATCCAACAGATACACAAACTCATAATATTTAGGATTAATTAAACGCTGATGGACTTGGATTTTGATTTTGAGACACTTGATGGTACTGAATTTTATTGAGGGTATAAGAGTTAAGGCGGCTGAACACAAATGCACATAAATGCCATGTGGCGGAAAACCATACACTATTTCACTTTTACTAGATAAAATAAAACATATATAGATTTGTGGTTGTTATAGGGAAAGAAAACAAACAGGAATAAATAAAAAATGTATCACTTTTATTTAAAAATATATCAGTTTAATATAAAATAATATCTGGAATTTCATTTTTATATGTTTAGTTTGGTCACATTTGTCACATTTAAAACTGCCTGGTATTTCTGTCTTTTTTTTCAGATAAGTGTCAAATTGTAAAGAATCTGATATTGCTCAGTCCAAAGACAACAGATAAAAGTCTGTTTTAGTGAGATGGCCATTGTGTGGACCACATGCTTCCAAACATTGCTTTCACACCACTAGCTGTTATTTACATTTTTTTTTTTGGTTTGTTGCTTGTGAAATAAAATATATTATTTTGTCAAACTATTTGCTTCAGTGTAATACTTTTCCCTTAGTATCCACATTTGTTCCTCACAAAAAAAAATATTGATATATAACAAATATAACATGTTTGGCAGTGTTATGGCCTAGAGATTGGAATAAAATCGCACAAAAATGTAGATTTTGATAATTATGCAAAAATATATGTTGGTGGAAAATAAATATTTATTGACTTATTTACCTATTTTTTTATTATTAATATTTTGGCCTGTTTTGTTTTATGCCTTTCATCAACCTGAGTGGTGGGTAGTGTTACACGGAAAGCTGCTGTACACACAGGATGCAGGATGACGGTCGTGACCACTGTTTACGCAGATGCAATGTGGATTCTATCTATCTATCTATCTATCTATCTATCTATCTATCTATCTATCTATCTATCTATCTATCTATCTATCTATCTATCTATCTATCTATCTATCTATCTATCTATCTATCTATCTATCTATCTATCTATCTATCTATCTATCTATCTATCTATCTATCTATCTATCTATCTATCTATCGGAAGTAAAACAGTGTTATAGCGCGTAATTAAGAATCGTGTGAAAAATCCGTTATTATGATGTACCTTCTACCATTAAGGCTTGTCCTGAATGTGCCCTGATAGCATGTCAACAGTTGATGCTCTGCTCTTTTATCTGATGCCTCCAGAGACCGATGCGTTTTTATCTCCCTCAGCCATGACTGCCACCCCCCCAATCCGTGGACCTTGGGGAACCGCCGGCTATGGAGAACCAATACCTTCTTCCAAAAAAAAAAAAAAAAAAAAAAGATTGTCTATTTAGCTATATATCAATTTTAGCCACTGTATCAATTAAAAAGGGGTGATGCTCATCCATCCTAAGGTAGGCTATGCACAATGTGAATAAAGATTCCACTCTTCTTATGATCTAATAAAACATGTAACGTCTTTTATCTATAAGCTCTAAACATGAGCTTAAAGAGGAGAACCTATTGCTGAGAATTCAAAGTTGTCTAAGGCTTAACCTGAGCTTTTTTGTTTCTCTCATTAAAAAAAATTAAATAATAAAGCACCTCAATAGCGCAGCCAGCACAGTCTGCCATACCTCACGTTGTTACAGGCCGTTGCGCTTTGCCTGTTTTTTTTTTTTTTTTAATGCCGTGCCCTCCACAAGACTATATAGCCCCAACGACAGCCAAATAATAATTAATCATTTCATAAATAATGGGTTTAGGGGCTTATCGGGAATGAAGAGGCCGCTGCCGTGCGCTTATCTCACTCGGCCACATTGCGGCCTGTGTTCCGCTCCCCATACAGAGAGGGAGCGCACTGGATGCGGCGGGGAATAACTCTCTCTCTCTCTCTAACTCACACACACGCACACACACACACACACACACACACACACACGCATACTGCTCCACAACTGGTAGGAAAAAAAAGAAAAACCTCAGACATGGATGACCCGCTCACAAAATGGCTCCACTTACACAGTAACATCAACAACACGGCTGAAACGGTAAGGAATCCCTCTCCATGTTTAAACCGCCGCTTGCGTCGCTCCTGTTGTCGCGGTAGCCATGGCATCGGGTGTATTTTATTGCTCTAATGCTCTAAATGTTTCCTCTGTACTTTCTAATATTGTCCGACCGGGTCGAGGCTGTATAGAGAGAAACGGATGCGAGGCCTGCAGAAGAAATCCCCGAAATAAGAAAAAAACGCGACTATTATCCTCTGTTCGGTGTTTGTTTTTTTAACATTTGCAGCGTTTTATTCCGTTTTATTATACCTAGGACACCTAAAGCTGATATAAAGTGGGTGAAAAATTGAGTATTAAACTCCAAATATCCGTTGTAGCAATAATAGCATTATGACTCTCCCAGAGAAAATACATCTACAAATAATTTCTTATTTCTGTTTAGAAAAAACAATACAAACAAACCAACAATCCGATCCAATCGATGGACTATATTAGAAGAAAATCTGAGAAAATATACCTTATTTTTATGCATAAATAGAGACCGTGTCTATGGCAAAAGAAATTAATTCTCCTATACAAATAAAGAGCTACATCTAATTTTTGGTTTATAAAACGCGAATTATAATAAAACGTGATTTAAACACAAAGAGAAAAAAGACATTTGCTATAGTGGACTACATTACTGTTAAGCAAACATTAAATTAGGAATAATTAAGGATAACTTGGTAGCCTGTCGTGGAAAAAAAATACCTGAACAACCTTCATCTTATTGGGAATATATTTAGCTCTGAAAAATAGTTGTATATTCTAATAAAAAGTAGGCATTTTTAAGATGAAGGTAGAATTATAATCCTGAAGGCATTTTTATTTCTATCGCTTTGGTTATTCGATTAGCTGAGAATTGGATATTAAATAAAAAAAAAAAACATCTAAAAAAGCGAGCTTAACTGGTTAAACAAAAAGATAAAACAATACCTACAGTGCAACGATATTTTGGACGGGTTTTTTGTTTGTTTTGCATTGATCTGCCTATAGTTTTAATTTTGCATTAGATATTAATATCTGTTTGATTGTGAAAGCGCTGTTAGATTAATATTAATCAATAACTTGTATTTCTAAGGACGGAAAAAATAAATTGGTGAGAAATTGTGATATGTTTAGACGATTAATTAAGGAAATGTTTTCTTTAGGATTTTGTGGGAGTTTAAAAAGGGTCACGGTGTAAAAATGATGGAAAAACGGGAGCAGGAGCTTTGTCCTGGAAGTCCCGACGCAGGATCCGGTCCTGGAAAGCGAGAAGACTCGGCCATCATCTCTAGACACAACGGATACAAGGAGGAAGAGGAGCCGGTGAGAGAAAGGGGGGAGGAGGGAGATGAGGAGGAGGAAGAGGAAGAGGAGGAGCAGGCGGACGAGAAGGAGAGGGGAGGGAGCTTCAAAGGGGCTGAGGAGACGGATGACGTTCCGCTGCAGAACTCGAGCAACGGGTCCAGCATCAGCATCATCATCAACGGCGTTGCCAGGGAAACTGCCTCTCTCAACGCCCTTGACCTGAAAAGGGAAGTACCGGTGATCGAGCTCTCCAGGAGGGACGCTATAAAAGCGCTAGAGCAGAGGACGGAGAGCCATTTCGTGCCGATCACGGAACTCCGCAGACCTCCACCGCTGCCATTGCCGCCGCCGCATCGAGACAACGCTCGAATGGTCCAGCTGAGCCCAAACGCGTTCCCTGTCCCGGCCCGGGCGATGCTCTACAACCTGGCGCAGCCTCTTGCCGCCATCAACAGGTACTAATGAAACCAGAAAAAACTGCTATTTTATCTCCACGTAATATCTCTGAATTATGGATGTAAAGTTGTTCAGAAATATGTTAAATGAGAAAAAAGCTGTGCATCAATTTATATCTTTGTTCATCAATGTATTAAAAGTTGTAAGTGATGCAACGATGTTTATCTCTTATATCTCATTGATCTGTATATATTTTTTCCCCTCTTTTCCTTTTTTATCTTTTTTATTTTTTGTAGTCTTGGAGGAGAGTCAGAGCAGTACAGCATGTACCCCAGCAACAGGGTAAAGCGCCGCCCGGCGCCTTATGAGGTTGAACTCGACGAGGGTAGGCGCATTTTAGATCTTTATAAGTATGGTAAGATGCACTTCTGCTGTGTGCTCCTTCTGCCAGTACAGTCCCTCCCCCTCTAAGTGTCTCTCCCTCATCTCCATTGTCATTCCTCCACTGACATGGACGTATAGGCCTACTGTTCCCAGTCTGCAGAAGATGCACTGCAAAGGGGAAAAAATGAGTTGAATAAGAATAGCAATTCTTCCTCACAGAGCACATTTCTACCTGGAATATCAATAAAATTACCCATTATAAGGTAAATTTGGAGTACATTTGAAACATTATTTCCAGTGGTGCCCACGCACTGTCATAAAAGGGAGGAGAATTGGGGTGCTGCTGCCTCCATGCCAAGGTTTTAGTGCAGAGTGGGCTGAAGGATTAAGATAACCTGGGTGTGTTCCAAGAGCAACAATAACCAAAAAGACACTTCTATTTGGGGTGGAATAATAAGACTACCTGCAAAGCTTTTTTAGTGTGTATTAAAATATATATATAGAGAGAGGGATTGAAGAAAGGGATTAACACATCCTCCCAAAGTACATTCCATGAGGTATGGCAGGAAAAAAGAAATCTGTGTCTCTGTATTTTTTAAACATCTATGTTTACTTTTGAGAGCTTGGCACTCAATAGTTGAAGTTTTACTTTTTTTATTTTACCTTTAGAGAAGCATTCAGGTTGATCTATCTTAATACAAACTTAATAGATTAAATGATGAGGTTAGAACTCCCATAAACACAGTTATTTCCTACACTCTGACAAGCAAAAGCAGACGATTCTTTCATCCTGAAATCCTTAGTTGCACATGTGGTGGATTTCTATCTGCAATTTCTGATAACTGAAGCTGATTAAAAAAAAATTGTTTTACCCACATGAAGATTATTATTGTGTCTTATACAAACAACGTAAACACACACTCCCAGCCATTCAAACATGAAGCTTGAAGTTTGGCTACAATAATAGGTTTTGTATTTTAAAAAAAATCTCTGCATTTAGGACAGTTTAATAAATATTATTTTAAAAAGGGAGTTTCAGATAATTTTTTCTACCCATTTACAAAAAGCATTTCGGTGTGTCAAAATTATTCATAGATTTTGAAATAATCCAAACATATTTAACCCTTGAGAGTTGTGCAGGCAAATTAAATTAGTTCTTATATTTAAACTCTGACCATGCTGAACAGTGACTATTTATATGCAAAGTTAACACACTCTCACTAATTCACTTAATGTTGAAATGTAAACAAAATTAAGAATTAATTTTATTTTTTAGAACTCACAATAGCCAGGATAAATTTGCGATTTTTATGAAAAAATGTTTTTTTTTATTTCACCACATTAGTGTATCTTAATAAATAAATACTCATTAAATTTAGAGTACAAAATGAGTTTAAATGCCATTTACCCTTAATTTTTGTTGAGCTAAATGAGGGATTTCTTATATATTTGAAAATCTTTGGATGTATTGAGGACAGATTTACAAATTTTGGGTTGTCTTGGTTTGTTTTTTCTCATAAGTGTTGTGCACCTTTTTTGCTGCTTTAATTCTCTACTCTTTTGAAGATGTGCCATTTTAAAATAAAGACAAAAATTTAGTAACAATCTCATATTGTGTTTTATTTTAGTTTTACTGCCATGTTAACCTACACCATTCATTTCTGTCTTCTTTTGTCTTTCCATGTCCTTTCCATGTCAGCTGGCCAGCCAAAGATTGTGCGTCGCATCTTCACAAACAGCCGTGAGCGTTGGCGGCAACAGAATGTAAACGGTGCATTTGCAGAGCTCCGCAAACTCATCCCCACTCACCCTCCGGACAAGAAACTGAGCAAAAATGAGATTCTGAGACTTGCTATGAAGTACATCAGCTTCCTCTCTAACCTTTTGGAAGACCAGGACGGGGGAAGAAATGTCGGCAGCACAACTGATGGGGACACAGGCCTGCTGGTTGGTGTTCCGACCCATGAGGGAGGCCCTCAGGGTGCTCCACACCAAGAAACAGCGGTGGACCTAGTAAGGGATGATCTTCTGGAGACGATGTCACCAGGTTCCAGCTGTGGTAGCCTACCTGATGGCGATGCTGAGGGGAGTCCCGAGAGCTTCATGGAGGACCAGGACTCACCTCCAGCAACAAGGACTCTAACAGCCTCCCGCGGACCCTCACTGCATCTGGCAACTAGGGATCTGAGGCGTAATGGACGGCCATTAGATGGTTCCAGCCGACGATGATGCTTACACTAGGAGATCATATTTATGACGTCAAAGACTAAATAAAAGCAACTACAGACCATGTGAAGAGTAGATTTCCTTAAAACCCTTTATCTTGAAGTAATCGGTTAAGGAAGAATTGTCTTAAACATAGAAAGTGAAACATGCACCTGAGACAATACAGTTAAATATCGTAGTTTAATTTGATCCACTTGTAAATTCTGCATGTTTCATGCTCTTAGCCGACTCTAAGACTATACATTTCTACATGTTGGAAGTTCCAAAGACACTGTGTGAAATGAAAGCATAGAAAAAAAATTTATGAGGCAAAGAAATATCTTAAATCAAGCACCCATCATTTAGGAGATGTTCAGTAAGGAGTTAATTGTGTGCTAAGCCTGCAATCACCGTTGATTACAAAACAATGCATTTGGTATAGAACCACTTCGTTTAAAAAATTCTGCAGGAAACCTGACCTAAAATGCCAAGACATAAACTTCAAAGTGAAAGTGGAACCACTTTCATTGGAAAGAAAAATAATGATAAAATACATTTACTAGAAGCTGTTACAGTCCAGTTCGTCTGATCTAGTTTACGTATGTATTGTAAATTGTATATATTTCCACTGCGCATTGTAATGAGAATGACTTCCTCGCGACGAGGTTTCCGATGTAACATAGCGGGTTTGTTAATAGGTTTGTCATCGAAAATGTCTTTTAAGTGACAAGATTTAAGAAAACAGGGGAAAACAGGAAATGTAGACATCAATGTAAAACTATTACAGGAGGATGAAAGTGCATCAAATGTGGTACCACTTCAGTCACATTAGACTGTATGATTAGAAAATCATACAAAATATTTTAACAGACTGTTAACCAATTACACTTTGTGTAAAATAACATCAAAAACCCATGTATTTGAAATTGTTGTGGAGGTACAATATAGACAGTGCTCTTAAAGTGTACAAAACGTGGGTCAGATGAAATCTTGAGGTGACTCATGAAGTCGTTTTGATATGAATGTTTTCATGTTTTTTTTAAACTATAATGCAAATGTAGTTTAGCAAGGTACACAAATAAGTCCCTTTGTTTCAGTATTACATGTGTACATGTACACTCCCACCACACCTACTACCCCCCTTCACCCCACCCCCATCCTATTCTCCACTACCTTGCAGTATTAATATAACAAGAACACCAGCAGTTTTCTGGAAGTTAAGTATTGCTCACTGCTGTTGGTTATTCTGCTTTTGTAGCAGAACCTGGTAGCTTATCTTGGTACCTTTGGTATTTTATGAATAACAATAAAGGAACATTGTACGTTTGGTAATGACATATTTGTTGTATGATAGCTGTACCTATAAATATATACAATGTTAAAGGGATGGATTTTATACAAAAACAGAATAAAATATGCAGCGGAAGAATGAATTTTTCTGTGGTTTATATCCATTGTAATTTAATTCTGTTTCAATTTTATTCCACTTCATTAGATATCAGTTCGGTTTGCTTCATTTTGATTTTCTTCAATTCTGTTTTGATTAGGTCAACTAGGTTCAATTCAGTTTATTTCAGTTCAACGTAATCCAACTGAGTTCAATTGAATTTAGTTAATTGTGATCAAACTAATTGGAGTATAGTTGGATTAAATTCAGTTAAAATTATTTCCATTCAACGCAGTTCAATTCAGGCCAGGTAAATTTGATCAAAATCAATTTAGTTTAGTTCAGTATAGCTCAACACAATTAATTTCAGTTAAGTTCAACAAGTCAAATTTTTTAAAAATTTAATGTTATAAGAAAATTCGATTTCATTTAATTAGTTTCCATTTAGTTTGGTTAAATTCTATTCACATTTTTAGATACACTTCAGACAAATTCTATTATATTCATTTAGGTTGTTTTTAGTTTTTATAACTTATTTCTCTTAAACACCATTCAGAGTCAATTAATTTCCGTCTTAATTAACAGTTCAGTTAATTGTAACATCATGTTAATGTAGTTAGGTTTGATAAAACTCACTAGAGTTCTAATTATTTGAAGTGTGATTATATGAGTTATGATCACTCTATATGAACACTCTATCTATTCTGTTTGAGAACTGATGTGTATTCATCATCTGTTAGGTTTTTTAATAATACAGCTGTAAAAGATAAATTCTTTTTTGTAATGTAATGCCAAGCATCTTTTTCCCGCCTTATCTGGGCATAGTTTTAAGTTAAAAACCACCACCTCCTTTGAGAAACTCCCTCAGTGGGCGCTGCAACCCTCACTTCCACCTCCAACAAGTGACAACTTCCTGTGGAGGTTACCATGGCTTGCTGACCTGCAGGATATCCTGCCATTGTGAAAGTGGTTTTTACAGCCTATACTGCACTCGTTTGACCATTGTTGTGTCTGCATTTTTGTTAAAACAGGCTTTAACATCAAGAATTCACTAGCCGTAAATAAGTCTCTAGAGCCATGGAAAATTCTCCATGGCTTCGCTAAGTTGTCTTTTATTAAGAACCCCCCCCACCCCAAAATAAAAATAAATATATGTCTCTTCATGTGAAGTTTATTTTAACTTTGTTCGACGGGCCGTCTTACCAACTACTACCTCAATGCAGCGCACTCAGACAATTCCAAAGGCTATAATTGCTTCCAGAGAGCATCAGAGACATCCAGGTGTTTGGAGACCTCTCCTGTGCTTCACTCTGGCTTAGCTGCAACTCCACTGAGGGGCACTCTAGGTTAATGCCTGCCAAACGTTTACCTGCTTCAGTTTTCCTGACTCTCAGAAAAGGCGCAGCCACACAAAAGGGAAGGATAGAGGGAGTATATGAGGGATTGAAAGCCAGGGAGGGAAAGGATGTGTGAGAGTGCATGTTTATGTGTTTTTATGTGTATGAGCGCTGGATGGTGTGTATGTGTCTGATTTCCATGGATCTGTTGGTGTGAGCCATGTATATGAGTGTGTATGTGTGTACGTTTATCAGCTCTGTGCAGATGGGTGGCAGAGTGGCTCTTGCAGCCAAATGATTCAGTATGCTAATGAGTTGTTATCTGTGGTGCTGCAGGAACAATATACTGTCTTTCTCACAGTGGGAATCCAGCCTGCTGGGAACAGATTACACTGCACACACCGCCAAGGTAGTTATTTATATTTTCACATCGAATAGTTGAAAATACATAAATGTACAAACGCACTTAGACACTTGCACACATTTCTGCCACTGGGCGTGTGTGTGTGTTTGCTTAAGCAAACAAGCAAAATAACATTTCGACAAACAGACACAAATATAGCACAATCACCATAAGCAGCAGCAAACATAGGATGGAAATTTGACAAACACCTTGGGTCCTTTAGCAGAGGATGGAGATGTCATGAGCGTTTCTCTTAAACAGGTATCATTGTTATTTCTGTCTTATTTACATTAATGTGTACAAATGCTGTTCTACTAATTATAAGGAACTCTTAATTAAAACAGAATGCTCCTCATTAGATATGTGGCATTAAAGAAAGATATTCTTTGTCAATTCTGTTTTGGGTAAGTGAGACAAATGTTTTTGAAGGAATTAACTAATTTTGCTCCCATTTTATAAAAAACTCGTAAAATGTCTTTAACTGGACTAAAAAATAGACATATTTCTATTTACTAATCTTTATTCCAATCCATCCACAGATCATGAACATTGATGCCTTTTGTGACTTTATTAAAGACATAAATATCATTAAAATGTTGTACATATAATATAATATATTTTCCAGAATTGAGCTGCTCTAGGTGGTTGAACGTAGAAGCAGCTCTGCTAGCTTGCCTCTGATATTCTTTTTTAAGAGAACTTTAATGCACCAACAACACCTTATTATTTTAGTTATGAGTAACTCCAATATTTAATTTCCCTTTGGGATTAATAAAGTATTATTTATTTGAATTGAACTGAATAAAATTATTTTAAATATTGCATCCTTTTATGTTTTCATCTTTATGTCATTTTGTAGTACGTATGTGTTCATGTGCACCGTCTTCTTTGGCATTATACCACTAATAATTAGACTCCATCTCAAAAATAGAGATAATCTGAAGAAAATAAAACTTGTAGATGTGGCTCTACTGTTTTAGATGTATTGGACTGGCAAACTGTATGTAATATATCATTAATAATTAATATTTAATAATAAATTTTGCATCTAATCAAAAAGTGTCATATTACTTCAGAACAATACTTTGTAAATTATGTTAGACTTTCAAAAGATCCAGGAAATTAAAAGATTCATTTTCTTCTTTTTTTTTTGTATGTACATTTAATTTATTTTTGAGGCTCTCACGTCCGGTTAGTTAAAGACGTCTATACTTGTGTTTTGTTTTTCATTCATCAATCAGTGGAATTTGGTAGTGCTTCATTTGCAAAGATACAGATAAAAATGAAAACTCCACACTCCTGAATTAAAATGATAGCAGAATGTTTAATTCGCTACCCTAACCTGCAGGCATCTTTTCCTTCATTTTTATCACTTTACATACATACAATAATTTACAGAATTTAACTGGCAAATGTTTGTAATTTAAATACATGTAACTATGAGTTAAGGTGCAGTAAAGTGCTTTAATATTATGCTTTATTTTTGAAAAAATATATCAAGCTCCTATACACACAAACACACCCCAACTTGTCTCACTTACTGTATGGGGCCTTTCCACTGACTTCCATAGATTAATTAAAGGTATAATGAAGATTGTTCTTTTTCCGGGTGGATCATCTAAATAAGTGGTCCACCTAATTGTCAATCATTCTAATGATGCGTTTATGTAAGGCTGTCCTACGTGCTCGTCGCCAATTAGCTGTCTTTTTCTGCGCATGTGCACTTTTATTTGCTGAGATTTGGTTTCAGCCATTCATTGATGCTCACGTTTCTCACCGCGGTTCTTTGAAAATGGCCATGCATAGTAAAAGAAAAAGCGTCTACGAAGTGTATGAGAAGAAAAGAAAGGCCTCTGAAGAGAGAAACAAGACCCGAGTGTTTCTGGGAGATTCTTTCACACAATGGCGTACACGGAAGCACAGGTCAGGCTTCCCACTGATGCCACGGTTGCAAAGTTTCTAATCGACAGGTAAAGTTTGCCATTCTGTTTGGAGAAATCCATTTCACATCACTGCTAGCAAGTTATCTACCTCTATATTTTAACTCTTTAAGGGAAGATAATTTTATTTAATTTGTAATTTGCATCGTTAGTAGTTATATGGTGGCCACAGATCCTTATTTACCCAAATATGTCCACATTTCCACTGCAGCACGCACACACATTCAAGCATTTCGTGATTTTTTTTAAATATAGCAGTATTTTTTTTTTAATATAAATATGCATACGCCATACTTATATATAACCTTTTCATATATAAATATGGGTGAGGTTAGATCCATCCGAGCGACCGTCTTATCATTTCGTACCCGTACATCCTTGAGGAGAAATGGGCACTGTGCATGCTCTCGCAGGTGTTTAATAGGAGTTCCCTCTCTGATGTGCATCTTTTAAAAGACCAAACTGGTCTTTTAAAAGATTTAGGAAAATCCTCCACTATACCTTTAATTCCATTAATTTCTACAGCCTAACCGTGTCCCTCACTCCAAACCTAACTATTACAGGTTCAGACGTGACCCTAACCCCTACCTAAAATCTATTTAAACCTTATTCCTAATTGTGACCCTGACCAAAAACAGCGTTTCCCCTCGTGGGGTCTAGGCATCTGACCTGCCACAAAGAGCAGTCGGTCCCCCTAATGTGCTGTTTTTCTAGAAAATGGACCCTACAGTGTATTAAAAACAAGTATTCCACACACACAACACACACACACACGCACACCCCCACACACACACACACACACACACACACACACACACATAACCTTTAATGTTTAAAACCATTCATTACGATTAACAGTATTCAATGCATTGTCCACAGAATTCACTGATTTTACAGAATTACCATGTAATTTACTTTTTCAACATCCCTGTAAATCCTTATGAATGTTTTTTAGACCATACAAGTTATTAGAAGACCCAGCAAGCAGTTTATTGATGGTAACACTAATGTCTTTAAGTCAGTTAAGGAAATGTGGATTAAACTAGTTTGAGTCAGTCAGAGGAGATCTTCCACAGTCCAGAAAAATTCAAACAAAACCTTTATTATGTGAATTCTGTAGAGTTCTGTAAGCGGTTTTATCTTTAAGATTGGATTTTTGACCTTCTTCTATCTGCACGTGATCCTATCTTATTTTCATAAATATAATCTTTATATTAGCTAGACTGTAGGCTGATATCAAAGATAAACATATTGTGTTTCTAGTCTCTGCAACATGTTTCAATTCCTTAACACAAATGCAAAGCTACATTATGGCACCAGTAGATTTTGTGCAAACATTAAGCATATTATGCCCTCTAGTGGTAAC